TGGTAACTTTATTTTGTGAACACATGTCGTCGAAAAACCGATCCGAATAGAACATACTTTAGGATCCTTAGAGAAAAAAAATAGTTGACTTAAGTTTATCATTGAGCGCAAACACAAACGTTCAACATCAGATTTGAATTTACTCAAGTATTTACATTTTGGTTTCACATCCTGAATTAATGATCATAATTCTATTTTGATTACTGATGATTGAGAATTACGAACTTGAGTTTTGTTCTCCTATGAGTCTACATATGTACATAAATAGATCATTCGGTCAACAATAAAACTAAAACGTTTTATCAGCCATTCAATTTACCAGTGTAGACGAGAAGATTACTGCCTCATACTTATTTCATGTAACCTTTCCCGGTTATAAGTTTGAATAAAGAAAGAACAAATATCAAAGAAGAACGACATGGATTCATTTACTTTGTAGGTTCTTCTCGGATGCTTTCTAGTCGAAGATACTGAAAACTTCAACATCATACCCGCTGTCGAGCCAAGGACATGTATATCAAGCAGTAGACACAAGTGGAGGAAAATAGGGTGGGTATTTGTGCACAGTTGATTGTTCCAATGAGCATATGATTTGGTATAGTGACACCGACTTGGCCGCTGTTTTAGTATTGTCTTTAATGAAAAATCCATCCTCCCGGCTATTTTATCGTCACTGAGACCAAGTCTTCAAAAGATGGGTGTTTTTTTTATCAACTTTAGGATATTCGATTTGATTGTTTCTAGTCGTTTCAAGTTTACTTTTGCAGATAACTGTTCCCATATATATGGATCGCTAAAGTATAGCTAATTCCTTATTATTGCTATTCATAGAGGATAATCTACGTTATCAGTGGAATAGCGTTCTAACCGAAGCTCTTTAGCAGCTTCTCGAACGCAAGCTATGGGGGTTCAAGTATAGCTAGCTCCAGATAGATATTCGTTGCATATATTTTTAAAATTAGTCATTTTGATTTCATTTAATACAAAGACTGAAAAAATGTAACATGTCATTTTTTCTAAGTTAGGGTTTACTCTGTTGAAATGTTCCAATATATGAGAAGCGTAAAGTGAATCAGGACATGCAACATATGTATTATCCATAAACCTGACAAACATTAGGTCATTAATAGTCTATTTCATAACTTTTTGTACTAGATTTACCAGAATTGGGTCCAATGGACTCAATAGTAAAGGGTATTGTTGAAGTAAAATTAAGCACCTTTAGAGAACATCAAGAGAAAATGCTTGAGTCCGTCTTTTGGTTGGAGAAGTAGTTCAGTATGTTAAGTTGTAATTTGTATGGTTTCCTTCTATTGGAATTAAGGTTCACTTGTGTTTTACTGACTGAAACTGTAGTTTGTGATGGTAAGTGTTTGAAGAGAACCCACGAAATAAATGAATGCGCGTTACATTATTTATTTTCTATACTTTGAGTCAGTTCCAGTGAATAATGTACTATGCGTAATCTAATGACGTTATAGTGTCGAAATGATAGAACTACCATGAGATATTGACTAGAGGAGGTAAACCTTTACTTTCATTTTTATTAGGTAGTGAAATGACGAAACTGCACAAGAATATCAATGAACTCACACAAAAGTATCATCTGTAGTAGAAACTCAAAATTTCGAAATCCGGCATCATGTAATCCAGTCAATAATCTTACATGCAATGAAAACCAATATCTATTTGACACAAAATAAAATGGTTTAATTGAATTAACTTCCTCTTCAACATTTCAATAGTGATCAAAATGTTATAATGTTATAAAATGCAAAATTAACAACCTGTTCTTTCAACTTTAAGCGAATATCTTGTCAACTGAATTTTAAACAACAAAAACCACATGAAAAATGAAACTTTTGCCTATGAAATTCATCATGAGATTTCTTACGAGTTTAGTTTAATTTGGGTTTCAGTTAAAAACGAAATTATTGATAAATATAGGAGTAGAGCTGTATCAAGGCGGATTAGGCATAGAAAACAGATTAGATTAAACAACCTTTTTTATGGTAAATTATGAAGGATTTCTTCTACACGTGTTTCGTTTCATACATAATGCCGATTCTTACGGTTGTGTGCAATTTTGTCGGAAAGGCCATAAGATTGTTCAAGTGTGACTGACAGAAAGTAAATAATTCAAACTGCCATCTCGATAATGTTCAAACAAACAGCTTTTCGAGTATCTATTAACCGTGTTTTACCTAAATAATAATAAGGTAACTATGTTTCATTATGGATTATTGATCCAGGTTACTTTATTTTAAATAACTGCTGCAGTTAACTGAGTTACACTTTTATGGCAATAATGATTAAAATTTAAATCAATATAACATTTTAATAGCGGTCATTTCCTGAAGTCCTTCAAAGGTCAGTCATTAATATGATTGAAAGTAATGCCTTTTAATGTTTGTTAAGAGAATCATTATTGTTGATACGTATAGCTGAATAACTTCGAAGTTAAATGTCTCTAAAACTCACTCAGCTAATAGAATGGGTATTAAATAATTGACCTTATTATCGCTCATTTATTCTAATGATCACAACCCTTATTCATGATCCTAACAATTTTCTGATTAACTGGCTATTCAGCAGTGTATGATAAATGCATCTAGGGAAAAGGATTACCTATAGACGGATAATGCTTGATAATGCTTAGTAAAGAATCTAGAGTTTTAATATTTTAATTACCCTGTAATTGTTATTTTCCGATTATATCAGATAGGATGCTAAATTACTAACAATGAAAGGGTGTGCAAGTGAACGCCAGCTCTTTGGCCCTACTCTTAAATGGGCATCACTTACATACACACCAGCAGGCTTTTTCAGCAACTCATTTAGGTAACCAATGATATAAGCTAGGACTGGCTTCTAGATCAAAACCTATTTTGTTGAGTATAAATCAATGCTTCGATGTATGCATTGTAGACATTCCTTAGACAACTTTCAAAGTCAAACATCTTAGTAAACTGACATCCCATAATTAGTGGAATATCATAAGCATAAACATCGATAGGACAACTATTTATTATCATTCAATGGTCGATCAATTTAAGCATTTTCATATTTCAGCCATTTCAAATGTACCATTGTATTGAAATTTGAAATTTTCAAACCTTTATTTCAATCTAAATCATTGTTCGTTCTTTTCACTCATTCACGTCTGCCTCTTAACATCAATTGAATGAATAGTTTTGTATTTTATTCAACAAATACTACTATACATTGTTTGAATAAAATGTTCACCAGCCATCCTACCCACTAATTCGAAAATGTTTTTGTTCGAAATAAGTTTTCTTTTTTTTTCCCAGCCAGTTTTACATTATTACATTTTAGCCAACAACAACAACAGAAAAAAAAACTACCGAGAAAAAAAGATTTATGACAATAAAAAGTGTGTGTGTGTGTGTGTTAATCTGTTCAAGTTGTTTGTAGTCACACGCAACCAAATATATTATTCTTGATCACTATGAGTAGTAAAATAACGGAACTAGGTATAGTACAATCTAGGCTGTCACTTGCCTTTTATTCGATTTTACTGAATGCAGTCTATTGTTCCCAAAAGGGATTTGTCCTTTTATGGATTTTTTTTTTAAAAATGAAAAGCATGGAAATTTGATTTCATTTTACACGATAATTATTCGACAAACTTTGTAGCATACTTGCTTTTAACTGCAAAACTATCTATAGTTTCGACTGAATAACATAATAATCTTTAGCTTATTGTGTTTGATAAAATGCGATTTCTAGTTTAAGTCATTATATTTGTTGACTTCTTTTATGTTTCTATTTTTAAAACTGAAAATTCCGTGATTTGTTTGAGCATATCATTTGAGTTTTTGTTGTGTTTTTTTTTCATTAATCCATTCACTTGACTGTTGTGTATTTGTCTTGACATAGCATTCAGATAACTTGAAAGTATAAATAGTATAAATGCTGTGTTATGCACAGATTAAGTTTTTTATGATAAATGTTTTCTAAAAAAAAAAAAAGACTACAAGAATATTCAGTTTGAAAAATCTGTTCACTCTGTAGAATTAATCACTAAACAACTTTTGAACACATTGTTTAGCTTACTAGTGAAGTTGCATGATGAGTTTAGAGCATTAAGTTATCAATAATAAATCGAGTGTTTCGTTTGACATTATTTGAAATTTAAATTAACCTTAGTAATGCAAACATTTTATCGAAGCATCAATTGAAAAAGGTTCATTGCACCTGACAGAAATGCAAATTAAATTAAATTTATATTTATCAGGTGCAATGAATTTTTCTAAGTTGATGCTTTAATAGTGTTTGCATTGCTAAGGTTAATTTAAATTTGAAATAATTTCAAATAATAAAATCTAACATTTTAAACAATAGAGAAAGATATAAGAGGAATGAACAAACATTGGACAGAACTGTAGAGGGAAGCCCAGGACAGAGTTGGTTGAAGAAAACTGGTGGGCGGCCTATGCTCCATTGGGGGTAACAGGCGTAAATAAATTAAGTAAGTGAATTTTAAAAAATACCTCTCTCTAAAGCCTAATTGTGATGTGATCTAGATACATGTTGCCAGTAAGTTTCAAAATAGTTAGATTATGTTACATGTTTATAGGTTACTACTATTCAGAATGTAAATAAAAATCCCACTCACAGTTTAATGTCGACTATCATTATTATCATTACTACTATTATTATTACTATTATTATTATTATAAGCTAAAAATTCGTTCGAAATAGAACACCAATGACATAAAACTGAATATAAATGAAATCTATTACCTCAATACTCCCTATTCCCGTTTTTGATTAGGCATGGAAGATACTGAAATAAGGGATTGAGATTTTTCTTAATATTTACCACTTTAAAACCATTTGATTATTAAACACATTCCATATTGACACACTAAGCACAGTGAACAATATGAACCAAAATAAAGAGACACATGGATTGTTACTACTGCACAAGTTACAATCCATGATTTCCACATTTTTTTTTCTTCCTCACTTTTCAGACAACGTGTTTTCATTTCATTCTGCTCTATCAAGAAAGATGTCTCGATTATCCTTTAGGCGTTCACCGCCGCAAACATCAACTGTATCTAGTCATAGTCCACTGTTACACAATTTAGAAATCGGGAAATATATTGGCCGTTATGGACCTGGCTTTTTATGGAGTTTATTTGAGAGTATGGAAGCAAATACAAAATTGGTAAGTATATAGTATTTAGTATTTCTTCAATTTAAATTTTTTTCGAGAACACTCCTGTTTGTTGATCATTCAAATACTGCATTATAACAATCAACAGGAATTTAACAAAACAATGGCAAAAGTGATTAAGTTGTTTAGTATATAAAAAACATAAAACTATCCCAGTCTTCGTGCTTTATAATTAATTAGAAAGTTGACATCAAGAAAATAAATAAAGATCGTATTTCAATGTCAGTAGCTAATACTTTTTTTCCTGATTTGTAAATGCCCATTTCCCAGAAAATAGCACTAATTGTGGTGGTGATGTTTGGTTCTGTGAGCCGGATGTTTTGCTGATAGAGCTTTCATTGTTCTTCTGAACAACATCATCAGCACAAATGTCGGATAGACTTCTATCAGAGAACCAAACACCACCACCACCACAATCATCCACCTGAGCTACAAATCTTCTCCACCATCTCAAATAGCACTAATGTTAGTAAAAATTCTGTTTTATTGATAAAAATATTTATACTGAAAATTGTTGCGGTAAAACGTGGATTTTATTCAATCAAAATCCATTGATTCAAACTATGGCAATGCTGAAATGAGAATGAAACTTGCCCCATTTATCACCTACACATACAAATGAAGTCATTTGTAAAATGCACCGTTTGAAAGCATTTTAGTCAATATTCTAGTCACTTTTAAATAGACTGACATGATGATCTGTCCTAGTTAGTGTAGTCATGTTTCTCAGATAAATACATAAATTAGCATTATGAAAAACACAAAAAGTGATCGTCAATACTAAAATTTTAAAATCAATCAGATCATCTAAATATTAGAACATTTGATAAAGCGAATTAGAATACTTAAATTACGGTTACTTGTCAAAGAAACAAGAGCTTCTGTCAGATTTCAGTGACACTTTATCGCTCAACAAAATTGTAAGGCGATTATTAAAATGAAAGGAATCACTGTACAGAAACCTTTGATCAGCAATCGTTTTCCATGTAATGTATATAAGGCCAATAATATTGATAGTCATCATTATGATATATATATATATATATATATATATATATATATATATATCTTCTGATCGTTTTAATAAGCTTGATAATTTGCTATACAAATCACAAAGTCTAAAACAATTTTCTACAAAGTATGTATGTATGAGTACTCTTTTCTTAAGTTGTAATTTTGTTTCTTTTCAAACACGAACTTCTGAGTACCAAAATGGGGATGAATTTTGTCTAACTGCCTAATGACTCTATAATAACACTCAAGTCATGAAGCTCACAAGTGTACAGAAACAAATCAACTAATTTTCATACAAACATACTACATGTCTTCGCATTTGAAAGAGATTTTCTAAGTGTTGTTATTTTTTTTTTTAACGAAAAAGAAATAATTACTAGCCTTGATAAGTGGTTTTCTCCGGAAGTCATTAAACATTAACGATGCATTGAAACAAACAAAGCCTTCTCTGTTAGCAAATACTCGTTTTATTTCCTCAAATGTGTTCATCAAATGCCTTTGAAGTTTGAGATTTGTTATTTTTTTTTTCTCATTTAGTTGAACGAGAATGAAGACATGATTTATTTAAAATGTAGGCGGATACCATTCTTCAAAAAATCTGATGCCTTCTCTCTAAAAATGAATTTGAACTTAACACACAGATTTTGTTTGAGTGAATTCTCTTTAAACACTGATTTGTTTACTAAACAGCTAGATTCCACTTAGGCGTTAGTAGGCACATTCACTTCATTGTTTGTATAGTATTTGTTTTACTGTTCATCTTAAGATTAATTTTCACTAAATCAAATTAAAAATAACCGAGAATTTGATGTAATTGTTTTTTTTGTCACATACTTTTTGATAATATCTTCATTAAATCATTGAGATGAAAGTGATTTTATGAGCTGCTAGTTTGCCCAAAACACCATTTCAATACTAATTAGAAAATTATTTGACAAGATTTATTCATTGATTAAATGTTCACATAATTGTTTACAAATCAACTCATCAAAATTTTCGCTTAGGCTTTTGAAAAAGACAATGAATATTAATCACTGCATCCACTCCATTGTTTACTTGTTTGACTACACACTTTTGAATTTATAATTATAATGTTATTTAGCGAACACCACCACTAGATTGGCATTAATTTATGTACCTAATAAACACATATATTAGCTAAAATGAAAAACAAACTGAAGAAATTGTTGTTCTTCTTGCTCTGCTCCTCTTTTTCCAAGTATCAAAATGTCTGAACTAAAATGAAATTATATTAGTTATTCAATTTAAATTAGGCAGACAAATTTTTGTTCAATATAATCATCGTAATTATAAGTTGTACTCATATAAGGCTATTAAAGCAATGTTCCATCGTATCAAACAAAATGTGAGCAAGCATTTAAGTGTCAGCTTTTTCAATAGATTCCACATTTAAATTCAATAATTTGAGTTTATTTACTTTCGAATATGGGCATTAGAGGCTATTCGAAATGTGAAATCACACATTTAAAGTAAGATAACCACTTGGACAATTTTACTTTTTTTTATCAATGTTGAAAATTGCAAATATCGATTGTGCAGACAGTACACTCGTCAAAAGCTGACTAAGAAAGCAAATGTTTTCTGTCACAGGATTAGTTTGATTGGAATAACAACATCTATGATTGGTTATCCTGTGATGATATTCAATATAAGCTGACATTTAGATATCGATTAAAAATCACGTGGTCGTTTTGTTATAGGCGTTGAGTCATTTATGAAGCATACACACATAAGTTCACATAAAAATGTTGACCTCCTATAAACCAGATCAGTAAGGCATGATTATGTGGTCTACTGGCTCGTAGATCGTAAAAACTTTGAAGTTTAAAGCCCCTGATTTAAACTGTGTTTGTTTATCGATGCAACCGATAATGTATCACCATCAAGCCTGAATACTTGTCTAAATAGTATCAAACCATCATAAATTCTGATTAAGTATCTAGTATTCAGCTGAAAGATTTACAATCTACGTTTTCGGAACCTTTTGTAAAGTATAGAATTGAGTTCAAATAGAGAACAACTTCTCGTAAAGTTAGAAACTGTTATGCAAACATTTTCAGTTAATTTCATCACTCCATTTTTTCGTTAAATGGAGTGACAATTCATTATTGCTGTTCACTGTTTAATAACTCATAAGTAAGGAAACAAACTAAAATTTCACGAATAAAATCAAAAATTGTGCCGATATGAAGTTCAGCAATTAAAACCTTTTTAAACCCAGTTGTTACATGCATTCAAGCAGACATCTTAAATCACCATTATACTAAAGTAATCAGATTTCATATCACATTTGTAGAAAAAGTAATCTTCGAAATATATTCCTGGTCAGATTTTGTGTTGACAACTTAAAGAACGATGTCATCCCATTTCTCAATCAATCCATTAAACTGAATTCCACAATTCAGAAAATCGCCTTACTCATTTATGTAATGTTATACATTTCTCGGCATTATCAATCTTTAACTAACAGATTAGTTTTTAACAGTCTAAGTTCATATTTGTATTTCTTTGTTTATTACTGGTTATTTCATAAATTTCTCTTACATATAACATCTCTTGACATTTTCTCTCAATTTGTCATCCTTGATCCTTCACATTGTGAATTTTCACTTTTGTGTGTGATATACTGCACTCAAAACTACGAAACCTATCTGCTTTCTGATCTCCTAAAAATGATAACTTCTAAACTTTATCATAAGGTAAATCAGGAGATCGCAAACTCAACAACCAGTAAAATAGTCATCCTAAAATAATTAAGATATCTTTAGAAATCTTTCAAAATCAATATTATTGACGAACAAACGTACTCACTTTAATCGCCTACATAAAGCTAAAAGGACAAGAAGGCGAGTATAAATCGGCTATCGCTAAAAAGATAAATTGCGCCCATTTTGAAAAGCATTACTTTACTCGAACTAAAGATTTCTTTTCCTTGGTTATTCATAAACTTTAATCGGCATTTAAACGATGAACCATGTCATCATATTCCTATTGGCACGGACAATCCTGGATTAGGTCCCTAACATATATATATATATATATATATATATATATATATATATATAGCGTCGAATGTCATCTCGTTGATCACATATTGTAACTCCTCCGGTCCAGGGTTTCACATAAATGTATCAGCATAAATTGGGGACAAAGAGTGACCAAAAGTGATTCCTTAAGTTTAATAATATATTTCAAGTTATACACATTCGTTTACCATAAGTACAGTCTCACCTAAAGAGAACTTTATAAAAAATTGGTAGCTCAGTGATACCACAGCAATGTCAAAATATTTTAGCTTTCTAGCTGTTGTACGAGCCATCCCTCAAATATTGGGATGCTAGATTTTATCGATCTGTCCCGAACATCTTTCCAGTCAGCGGGAGAGTTACCTCGTGGACCAAATCACCGAATTTATGTATCCCTCATCTATCACTATTGAGATGAATTCATAATTTTGATAAAAATTGTATTGAGTTGTCATTATGATTATGATTCTTTGTAGTTTGTTCTGTAATTTTCGCTAAGCTAATTATTATTTCATCCATTTCAAAATTATCCATTCGTTCATCTATAAGTTTAGTTTTAATTAATGCACACTCTTCAAATATTTTATGATGCTTGCCAAATCTATCTCATTAAGTTCCGAATAGATGATAATCTTTGTTATGCCGCCTTTAAGCTTTTATTGTCTACCTTCCTATTAGCTGACATATCCTTCTTCACATACATACAACACTGATAATCATTATCATTTCAGTTTTCCAGTCACTAATAAATATTATGTAATATTGCGTTATATTTCGATATGAATACCATTGTAAACGGCTGACGAGATTTCGTGAAACAACAAATGGCTTCATATTATCTTGACTTAGTTTTCATCCTCTTCTTGACTGAATTCATAAAAGGAATTAATTGTAAGAAAACGAAAAAGAACAGAGCATGACTTACTATAAATGTGAATTATGATGCGCAACTGTTTGTAAACTTGATTTTTATTGTGAAATGATATCAGTTCAACGTGCAACATACTTCAACAAAGTAAAGAGTTGAACATATACTTCGGATCATGTCAACGGTTGTTTAGTCCATCTTATCAAGTGAATAAATTTCAAAATTCTAACTCTTTTAGTATGAACTAATAGTTTAAGAGAATCATGATACTTGTAGGAACGGAATTTTTTTAACTGTGATCGGTAAATGGGTTTCAAATGTAGAAACCTATCGAATTCACAGCAAAAGTACTTCTTAGAGATTCTGCAACTGGTGTAAATCAGTGATCTTAATTAACTTGAGCAACCCACACAAATCATCTAACTTTAAAATAAAATTTTGAAATTTTATGAACTGTTACGTTGATCAATCCACCAACGCAACGATCATGTAACAACAATACTAAAGTTGTCTTTGACAAATTTATTTTTGATAATTTAACGTTATTTAATGATAAACGGAACAACAGCACCAAAACCGGTGTTATGCCTGGGTTATTCTCTATAATTTATTTTTATTATTATTAATATACAATGAGTTATATTTAAGTTCTATATTTAACCTAATGCACTTCATTAAATCTCATATAACTTTTTGTAAAGTTACTCATAGGTTAGTTCAAACGATTTTTCAAATATTTTTCATCTTTCACTAAAACTAAATGAATATTAAACTAAAATAAATCAGTTGTCATGTCAATTCAAAGTTACATTCAGAGGAAAGATTTAAGTGAAACTTGTTTCAATTTATAATTACTAACTAGATTTGTAAAGGAAGCTATTTTCAAAATGTTTAACATCCACTTTTATAGTTTTCTAGTTATCGTTTTCAACAGTTCAGTTCATCATGAACTATGAGTTGACTGCAATGAATAGTAGCGGTCTATGGTCAAACTTACATAATAAAAATTGCTCTGACTTCGTGTAAAAAGATAAGTAGCACATTTTTGTAAGTAATTTAGGTATGGTGTAATTAATTGAATGAAAGAGTGGAACAATATACAGTGACGTAACGAAGGAACATTTACCACCAAGGCATAGAAAGATTAACAACAATCTAGCGGCGGCTTATGCAAACTTCAGAACACTAGATCTTGGCTGTTTGTTAATCATGTTGAATGCACCTTGGAAAATGGTGGATGGTACTAAAAGCTTTATTCCTGTCATTTCAAAGTCCTGTATGGACCATGTGGGAGAGAACGTAACTCCCAGTCAAGCTTACCTGTCGTTCGCTGAACCAGTATGTATGATATTCAGCCATTAGATGACGGTTTTGTCTAAGTATGCACCATAGTAGCATCTGAATTGTTAAATACACATTAATGCGGTAAATTCAATCGTTTCAACTTAACTCAAACACTAAGTCTGACATAAGAATATTTAGTTGTAAAATTGAATAGAAAAAAGAAAAAGAATAAAGCATTTACATGTGATCATTACACTGATGCAAGAAATAGTCTATCCATAGTTGTAATTTACTACACCTAGCAAGACATACCAACGAATCTGTTCGAAGAATAGTATTCTTCCTGATATTTCATTTACAAACTGAAGCAATAAATATATTTAGAGATCAGACAACTGTTATACATCATCTATTGTCATTCTGTGATATATATCCACACACTGATAAGCAGAACAAAGATCTATCGATACATGTTGTAAGTCATAAGAAATGTTCTCAGAAGGGAACTGTATGAAAGTTGACCTTAAAATTCTCGAAAGCTTCTTATACTCTAAATGAAACAAATATATGGAAATTTTTGTCTGTATTAATTGACAATGATTATACACAGAGTCATTGAAAATAAAGCTGTATTAACTACTTCATTTGACTTAGTTTAAATGTTCGATTACTTTCCTATCAGCACTTTTTTTAAAAATTTCAAAATTTGATTATAGCTCCTTTTTTTATATATTTTACTGTCGATCTCATTAACACAAAAGTAAGATTTTGAAGATGCTTATTTTTTCCGCTTATTCAATTTACAATTATGTTTTTCGTTCATTGGCATAGGTATAAGCGTAATAAAAAAAAAATTAGCATAAAACAGATGAACATACATAAAAGTCACTTATCTCTGGCACATTGTCTTTTATTGATAATAATAAAAACGTAATGAATTCATTTAAATCATAAATGAATCTCTCGATCCCCTAAGTCTAAAAGTAAGTTACATCGATAATTAAAACGTCTAGATAATGAATATATAAACAAATATCTAATTAGCGTAGAACAAATAAATGTAAAGCAAGTGTGAGCTTATCTTCATATTTACATCATCGTCTCTGTTTTTCTATAAAAAAAAGATACATGTGACCTTGAATCTTTCGTCTAGAAAAAATAATCAAACTCATATTAAGACGAGCACTATTGTAAAAGAAAGTCTGCATTGTGTTCAATCATCTAAACGACTTGGGAATATAATTAAAACGTATCTAACATTATTGTTTTAAGTTGTGTTTATTTGCAGCTTCTTTTGAGGTTGAAAATATACTACTCATTCAGTGGAATAGCTAATCACACTATCAGCATGCATCAAACAACATTTAATGATTTTTCTTCACTACAATCATATCCAGACTAAACAACATGCTCTCACACCGTGAGAAGATAAATAGTTAAGAATTTATAATGATGTAAACTAAACATTTAGTTTATTGACGCATTTTTTTGAGTATTTTGACCACCATATACCAGAGTCCATGACTGTATTTGAAGAGCAGATAAAATTCATCGTTATTTTGTAACACTAGGCGTTTTTATTGAACACTATTCTTCGTCTATGATTCATTCATTAAGCTCTGTCGACTGGTGACATTATTATCTCAAAGACAGGTTTTCACTGCAAGGGACGCCTTCATTCATTTAATAATTTATAAGTTTTGATAAGCTTGACATACAAACAAAAGAAATTTTGAAGCTCTCAATACAAACCATTCAAATTAAATGACAGAACGTTTTATCTACCATGTAAGTATGACAACTGGAATTTCAATGACATTGATTTATCAAGTAAACTCTAAACGTTAGTTGTTTTCAGTCATTCACTCGAGGATTAGACTAAGAAATGCCTGGGATACAACTTAGAAATATATTGACATTGTACGATAAATATGGCATTCGACGAAACTGCTGTCAATTTAGAAAATATTTTCAAGTTTCAATTATTGAGACATCCGATAATCTTCAGAACAACTCGGCTTAGTTTTGACCATGTGCAACTTAGTTTCAAATCACATTTGTTTGTGTTAAAAATCTGTAATTCAGTCCTTGAAGTATGACGCTTTGATGATTGTGACTTCTAAATTCTTAGATTCAATCATTCGTTGTTTTCGTGGACTCCTCGAAAACCTATAGACATTAGGTTTTAAAATTACTTTTGTAGTACCATTGGTAAAATGCTTAGAATCGCAATATATTTAAAGAAGACAGTAGGACAGATTGTCTTCAGTTTTCATAGCGATTGTTATAACTTCAGATCACTGGATCGGAAATGGGCACTTTGAAAAACTTATACAATCGCTACTGAAAATATATATATATATATATAAATCAGGATTTTATTGTCATTAGACTATTATGGCTGACATTCTAATGATCTGAAAATAATCGACCGACTTTTATAATCTGCCAATAGTTATTATCGTCCCGTCATTTTTTTTAACTTACGCTCTATAACAATCGTCAAGTTAATTGAAATGTCTCATTTGTATTTTATTAATCCTTTCATATGATGATGTGTTAAAATTTAGTTACTGTCATATTTTTATATCGAAACAGCTGTTGATTTTCACGAATGAAGACAACTGAGTGGAGTCTCTATGAAGGTATTGTTGATGCCCTTATAATTCAATGAATTCTTACAGGCATTTCACCAAGTCTAACCTCCTGTGTGATTTTGAATCCATTTCAGAAACGTACAGCATTTATATGCGACAAAAAAATGTTGGACAGAATCAATAAACATCGTCGACGTGAATTAATCTTAGAGACATTACGTAATGATTTGATAAATTTAAACAAACTGAAACATTCACGTTTTGTACAACTGATACATGATATGGAAGAGACTAGGTGAGTTCAAAAACAAACAGTATTATTATTATTATTATTATTTTTTCTTGTTTTAATTATTGTCGTGTTTCGCAATTTCGTCTGTCGAAGACTGAAAATCCACAAATTTGGAACATTAAAATACTTGTTCATTTATTTGAAATTTTAATTTGTTTTGTCTAGAATTTTAGTTGAGTTAATCACACTTCATGCAACAAGTTTAATTACATGTGTACATGTACATCGAATTCATTCTGCATGCAATAATTTACTTTAATGTAATGTGAAAATGAAGTAATTATATTTTTATGTAAAAAAAATAATAATAATAACTAACTAGTTTGCAAATCTGCATGAATACTGCATGAATTAAAGCAGAGAGTAAACGCTTTGAAAGGATTTTTTTTTAATCAAATGACGCGTTTTTAGTTGAAACAAGTGTTTTGTATAACCGGATTTTGTTATTCAGTAAAATAGTTTTAAGTAATAACTAGCTAAGACTAATTAGGTCTCACATTAATCTACCTACGATGAAATTTTCTGATTAGAAACCGAATAACTCGGGTAAGAAAGATGGGCTGACTATAATCTATGATAATTCTGGTGCTCAAAGTAAAAAACAAAAGGATAAAAGTCGATAAGTTTTTTAATTGTTCACAATTTAAATAGTGAGTCAATATTTAGTGGGTAAGACATAAAGATTAATCTTATAACTTGCCGAGCGAAACCAAATTATCAGGATTAGAATTTTATCATAAAGTGTTTGTGAAAACATGTGCTTAACGTGTTCAGTATTCATACACTTTCATGTATATCAAGTATATCAACTTCAAATTAACTACAAATAACAGTGGTGATTTCAAAATTTACAATACTATGCTTGATGTTTTCCAAATAAGCTTAAAATTGGTCTAAAAAATTGGATGTTTTTCATAATACTGTTACTTTTGCACTGAAGATAATAATTTTAAACTATATTTGGCTGGACTAAAGGTACCAAAGATTTGTCGAGAAGTTTTAGCGCATTTCATCTAACAAAGATATACAAAACTGTCAAAACTGCCGCCATCAATAAACGATATAAATGGTAATCGTAAAACATAATGTACTAATCGAAAGTGGGTTCTAGAAACTTCGAAAACAAAGTTACAGTAAAGAACAAATTTTATCCAAAGGACATTTAATAGTATCTGAGTCAAAACAAATCTTTGAAAAAATACTCTGAAGGTCGGTTTAATTAGTTCCCGTTTTCTAGAAATAGATCTGGGTTTCAACCTTGTATGTATCTATGTATGCAGTTACCTGCCAAAGACAATGGATGAGGGTGCGCAATACCTTGGATTGACCAAACTTAAACATTAATATCGCCGGATGTCGGCTCAGTGATCTAGAGGTTAAGCGTTCACGCTTAAGAACAGAGGTCTTGGGTTCGATTCAGGCGTGCGGAGACCATGGATGCGCACTGCTGACGGGTCTAATACTAGGAGGAAACGGTAGTGAAGTGCTTCCACTTTTCTAATAGTAGTCTAACGACGATGGATTCATGATTTCTCTGAAACGATAAAATTGTTTTACGGAATTTATCCTACTAACCACTTATTGTGTGTGATGAAAACGTTACTTTACCGATGAAATAAATTTAAACTTGTTCTAGAATTTCTATGAATGTGAATGGTAATTTTCTTAAATTTCCTATGTAAAATTCTATGATCTAAACAAACCTGGACTTAATCAGTCCAACTAATCGTGTATACACAGAAGTTGAGGTTTTCTAATTACCTCAAATGTTATTCACAACAATCATTATAAATAGAAAGTGTAATTCTCAGTTTATTCACAGTTAAATGTTTCCATATCTAATTTTTGTTTTCTTATTCATCACGTTTATTTTATTTCCAGTGATTATCTCACTTTCATAACTGAACCGATTATAGGAAGTTTGGCAGACATGTATATAAATGATCAAGTATGTTGGATTTAATATAACACAATGTGAAATAGCTACAATTATCTTGATTCGTTTTGGAAATATGATTAATTAAATGAGATGTGCATTGAAAATAAGAACTGACGACTGTAAAAGTCCCCATTATAGAAAATAACCACTAATTTTTTTTCTCTACAACTTTATACAGATTGTAATAGTTCACTTGAAATTCAGAAGAAAAAAAAATTCATGTCACTGTTAATGAACAAGAAAGACCGGAGAGTATATATACATAAATATATATTATTTCCTTGTCTAGAATAATTAAGATTATAAATTTTCTTCAGGAAAACTAATATTTACTTATTCACATCCATTTAGCCACTTTTACTCGTCAATACCAATCATTTCAATTTCAATAAGTCATTTATTTTCCCTATTAATAATATATATATATATTTGATCGAGTGGATGATTATTTAAAAAAATAATTTTAACCAATCAAAGCGAATCATTGGTAACTGAATAAAAGATGTTTGAACAATATATGATGCAAGAAATACTATTATTGATCATCAAGTGTTTATTTTGAAAGTATATCGTGTGTGGTTTGGAAAGTGAGATGAATGAATATTACTGAAATGATTTTTAATCAAATGCAAGTGTCTAAGACAGTTAATTGTCTACTAGGTTGTTTCTGACATTCCGTTTAATTAATCATTGAATTCAAGCTAATATTTGATTGACAGAGTATACCGGCAGTGGGATGGATCTGTTCGGTCAATAGTTTCAACTTGAAGAGTTATTATTTTTTTTAAAACTCTCTTAACGTTAATCTGATTATTTTGATAGAACAGTGAGAAGACGTAATTGATCTGACAAAAATGTGATGTATTTGCGCTATACACGGTCACACATATTTACTTGCATTACGGGGTTGTGAAGATTGTTAAGTTACACATTTTTGAAACCATGAACCGATCAATGTTCCCATACCAGGACGAAACGGCCGTCCAGTGCTTCCAGGTTTCTAATGGTGGTCTAACATTGATCGGTTCATGGTTTCAAAAAATGTGTACCTTAACAATCTTCACAACCCCGTAATGCAAATTACCTGAGCTCACTAGTGACTAGCTTCGTGAGGAATCTTCTCCGAGTTCTAGTGGGAAGACGTGACCAGTGAAGTTCAACCTGTTCGGGTGTAGACAGTAACTACCGAAGACTGTGTATGAGGTTGCGCAACTCCGTGAATTTGATCAAGTTAGACATTAACACCGTTAGATACCGGCTCAGTGGTCTATCGGTTAGGGCGTTCGCGCACAATACCGAAGGTCCTGGGTTCTAATCCTGCGAGGTGCAGGAGTCGTGGATGCGCACTGCTGAGGAGTCCCATACCAGGACGAAACGGCCGTCCAGTGCTTCCAGGTTTCTAATGGTGGTCTAACATTGATCGGTTCATGGTTTCAAAAATGTGTAACATATTTACTTGTCAAGTTATTTTATATGAAGATGAATAAAAGGTCATTAAATAAAAGTTCAAATAGACATAAGGTGATAATTGTAAATAAAGGAGAGAGAAAATTAACGTAGAATGAAAAGAATAAGAAAGAAAGGGTAGGAAATTGTCACATAACCTTAGGCTGAAAGATTATCAGGGTAAATTCAAGGTTATGACAAATTGTTTTTGCACACATAAGGGGGATTTTAACTTTCTAATAGCCAAGGCCTCCATAAACCTCAAAATTCGTCCTTCAACATTTCTATACAATGTTTTGAAGGCTATCTTGACATCAATATTATGCCCTATCTCAATTATGTTTTGAGTTCGATGAACAAGTTTTTCTATTTCCAACGCTAATCGGCTCATCTGACGTTAACTGATTTTGAAGCCACTTCGGTACATGTTCCATAACCCTTGATTCCAAAGTCCGATTACTCCTCCCTATGTTTGTGTGTCCACACAAACATGTAAATTGATAAATGCAATGGGATGTGATGCATTTACATGACATTTTTCAGATCAGTTACGTCTTCTCACTGTTGTTCTATTAAAATTTATATAAGGGACTAATTGTTTTAAATCTTATTATTGTTTAAATTTGTAATTAATTTTTTAAAAGATGTATCATTATGGTATTTCATTTATTCACCATACCTTTAATTATTTTTTAAACAGGATTCGTCTTTTTGTGAATTAGAAATTATATTTGGAATATATCAGGTAAATTGATTCAACATAGATTGCGCGTTACTTCATATGCTTTTACACGTAATGTGAAAAATGTACAATATTGAGAATGAAACTGTGCGTCTGTATGTTGCACTTCAAATGACTGACAGCTAACAGCATGATCATGATGAAATTAGACAAGTTCTTGATAATGAAACGATGAAATATTTGTTTAATGTACAAGATATAAGAGATATCATTTACTTTTACCAGCTGTATTTCAGTAACTGGCTAATAATCGGAAAACGAAATAGTTGATTATTACTCTCTCAATTTATTAGTCCAAGATACAAGATCGTTGAACACAGTCACAGCGAAAACCGAGAAAACATTTTCGCGCTGTTTGGCACTCGCCAGTAGAGAGTACCTATCACCTTGAGGGAAATGATGCATGTCATCCAGCTTTACAGTCAGAGACGTGATAACTTGAGCTTTAAATATCCTCCTCTAAGACTTGGATGTACACACACTTGATTGGTGTCTTAGTGGAGACCTTACTGCAACTCAGCTAATAGAATTTTGTCAGCACTAAGAAGCACTTGATGTACATGATATTGGTCACTAGTAAACGGTCAACCAATTATAAGTTCAGGATACCTGTGTTGTTTTCATATTCCGCTAAATCCATTCATTTGTAGTCTACTGTTACAGCTAAGGACTTCTGTTATTTCACCTGATTGTTTAAAGAAACTAAACAGCATGTCTAAATTCATAATTTCATCACATATGATGTTCGGATTTACTACAATCCCACTGGTATGAAATGTACACGATTAGTGTCAACATTTAGTTGCTGATAAAATTCATTTCGGTAGTGTACGTTGTTAAAAACCTTCAAGCAAACTAAACAGCAGAATTACTGAATTTGATCGGTTATTTAAAATTTCACGAAATCATAAATGCCATCATGAAAATCAATACTTATAACACTCAAGCCGTGTTCAAAAAAATTAATTGAATAATGAAACTAAAGAACCACTTTAGTCGATTTGCTCAATATCCCAATCCATTGAGTATGAAATTGGCATAATATTTTTTACCGTCTCAAAGACTGAAAAATTTACTGAGCCATTAGTAAGGATATGCCTTTTTTTCTCATTCAAACGTCATTGCCTAATGTTTTAGACGTACATGTTGCGTTTTCACTAGTTAATTTTGTTTCATTTTATTTTACTTTTTTTAACCTGCATTAATTACTGATTGATTAGAGTAGGAATTTACCGATTGACGTCAGCGACTTATTCACAGCTGGATAGTATAGTTGTAGTAGTGTGACATGTGAGAGATACAATATTCCGAGGTGCTTTGAAGTAGACAGTGAAACTGTCACTACATATTTATTTTCTATATTAGCGATCATTTATTGACTGTCATGAAGTAGCCTACTGATTTAAGCGTACAAAGCTATCGTCTGTTCAACTTATTTTATTGATCGCACCCAGTGAATTATGTAATCAAATAGTCCGATACTGAATTAAACAATTACAAAACAATTAATTATTATTATTATTATTACTCACCTAGATTACAGATGCACTGAGATATCTTCATAGTACGCAGGAATTAATGCATTGTAACATAAATACAGCGTCAATCTTGTTGGTTAACAAAAGTATATGGAAATTGGGTGGATTGAATTTTTTGGAAAAAATTGTCGATACTACAAAGGTGAGTTGAATTTTTTTTAATATTAATTAAACAACAAAATCGATAATTGCTGCTTTCAAAAAGGACAAATAGATAAAAAAAAATATACAAATTAATTTACACAACTAAAATCAGGAAAACAAGAACCGATGATTACACTGATTTTAAAAAAAACCAACAAATACATAGTACTAATACAAAGAATATGAAAGTGTTGAATTTCTTGAGCAAGTTTCATTTTTAAGTAAAATAAAAATGAATCGATTAGACTTACGGTGATCCATCCGCAAAACACAAGAAAATGTTATTTAACAGAGAAAATTGCTTGGAAAAATTAAGTAACTGACACATTTAAAGAACATCTCATTGACACTTAAGATATAGAGATCTGGGGCATGAAGTAATCTCTTATTTCATATTCCTATTTGTTCTCAGTCGAACAAGGCAATATACTGTTATGTTCGTCACTAGGTACGCTTGAAGCTATTACGAGTTCACCTTAGTCGGTAAACGCGAACGAGACAATTACCAGCGTCCAGGTAGACTACCTTGATCCCCAAACTGCAAAAGAGAAGTCTTGATATAGCGTAGAATGTATATTCTACAAACGCCCAGCAAGCACAACACAATCAAGCACACAACTCTCGTTTATTTATACATCATAGAAACGTCCTTGGGACAGTCACAAAAATAGCACACTAAAATACACAGCAGCCAATCACAGCCATGGATTTTCTTGATGGAAAATGAAATCTCAATGTCAACTGATCAGCCCATGCTCGCAAACGTGAAATCCAAAATAAGGCATTTATCAAGGACGTTCTGAGGATCTAACATACCCAATATATACTTCTTTTAAATATGATGAACCAAAAGCTGATTATCGGTTTCAATGAATGAATTCACTGTATTTTTTCATTTTCTAATTATCCCCATTTATTATTTCATAGCGAAATCAAGATGAATGCATAAATTAAAAATCGAGAATCAATATTGAACACATATAGAAGATATTCAATGCTTCATATCTTTCTAACAGAGGATAAATAATTTGATTTTCCACTAAACCTTATTTTCAGAAAATGAAACAATAACCAAAACAAATTACTGTTGTTGTTGTTGTTGTTGTTGTTGTTGTTGTTATACATTTACTTTTCATCGCATTTCAAGGTCTCCCAGTTGAATGAAAATTTTATTCGGCATAGTCTTAATTGTAACAAGTAAAGAGACAAAGAGAAATTATTTGCAACACATTATCATGGTAAAATATCGCGTGCCTTTTCATAAATCACATCAAAACATTAAAATATGTGAACGAAGAATAGTCTTTTCAACTTATTCTCATTAGTTTCAGACTGTCATATATCTAGTTCAGTATTCCAAAAAGTGGCCAGTTAATGAGTCAAAATACGTCGTTTTAAATTATAGCATTGTGAAGTTAAGATTGTTTATGAAATCATATGAGATTTTTCAGTGTTGAGATGACTAATATACAACGTTAACTTGAATACGTTAGTAAGTTAAATGAAAATGTGACATTAGTTTTCACAAAATAGGTTAGATAACTCGAGGCAAATAATATTGCAACTACCGAATTAGATAGAATTTTCAGTGGACAATGTTATGTAAATTTAATGAGAAATGTTAAAGAGGGGTAAGTGCCGAGTAAATTACCCAGGTAGTCGGGAGATGAATAGTGATGTTATACCAATTATAATAATTATCATTATCATAACATTAAGATATGTGAATAAAGATAACAAAGACAGATACTTTTGACTAAGGAACGTTGAATGTATATTAATCAAATAGAGTCATTCTATAGTTAAGGCAACCACTGATTTATTGAGCCTGGTTAATTGCACCACCGTAAGAGGATTGGATGGACATAATTCCTTAGCTCCAATTTTTTCTTAACACGAATCGTTATTGCTTCTACAGTTCGAATAATTTTGGGACCAGCTTGGGCAGAAAATTATTGACCGGATAAATTATAGAGAAAGGAGAAAGGATGATTTATACTAGTCCTTAACTGATCCAGTATTGAGCTGTTCACTACTCCTTTGGGTATTCACGAGCACTAAGATGTACACATTCCTAGAACTTCAACCAATATAAGCTGCTCCATAAAGAGCAGTAGAATTGATCAATGCAAATATTGATGCTCATTCTAGGTAATCCAACTTCTAGCCTCAGTGTCATCATTCTTAAATCGTAGGCACATAAACAGGGATTTCTTGTTCTGTTTGTATTCCATTTATGTTAACTTCATATATTTTTTTTATAAAATCTCCACGATATCCATTTTCTATAAGCGTATTACGTAAGTTACTTAGCTCATCTTCAACCATTTCGATAGAACATGTAGTATAAATTCGACAACTAAGAGTTTTTACCAGGTTTATTTTATGCTGCAAGGATCAATAGCTGTTCAAATTCTTGTCTTCATCGTAAATTCCTTCTTTTCGATCCATAATTATATTTTTTCTCAAAAAGACTATTCCTACATCTGTTTCTTCTACAGATGTAAACTTAATGACAAAGTGTACTTCATTAATATATATATATATATATATATATATATATATATATATATATATATATTGATAATACAAATTCAAATTTTTGAATAATCTGTTAAAGTGGACCATTTTCTACTTTAGCTAATAAAACTGTCTATTAACGAATGATTCAGTATGAGCACTTAATGAATTTGTATAGTCAATAATTTAAGAAACAATTTTACATTTGCAAAGAATTTTAGGAATTACATAACCAGGTATTGTATCACAGTAACTAAACGCAATTTTACAAGGAAAACACACTTGGTTTCTTGATTTCGACTATTTGTATAATATTTTATGATACCTACTTACGGATTTCTGTATTTCCAAGGGCATTACACTGTAACTGTTTGCCCTACTTGGTGCACCATTCAAAAACATAGTGTTACAAAGAAAACGTAGGCTATTTATTCAAAATATTACTAATACTACTCATTGATAAGCCTTAGATTGTCCTTCAAGATGATATGATCAGTGTTGATACCTTTGTTCTTGGGCTATTAATTAGCTCTTCTTATTGATTCATCTTTAATAGATATCAACCGCTCACCAAAATTTTCACACCCGTATTACGTAGTGTGGATGTAAGTTCTTAGGTTGCCCTGAAGTTTAAAATGTTTCTAATGCTATACATTTACGAATATCGAAGTCACTGAAAGTCAGGAGACATTAACTGATGAACCAAACACACGGAGCCCTTCGCAAAATGTGGGGCCATCAGTTTCCAAGTCTGAAGTTACCGCCATAAATTTCCCTCTTTTCAAACTATCGTCAACGACAAATATGCCTATCAACCCCGTGTACATGGGTCTTCATGAAACTTCATCAGCGTACCGCATATTTGGTCGCTGAGACACACACAAAGTATCACCGCAGGAACAGTGCACATTTTCTCCTCTTCTATCTCTTGAAAAATTGATAAACCAAAATTATGTATTTCATACATCAAATACATCTGACAATGTAGAGATATCATAGAAACAAGAATGATCGTAAACATTTGTAGATGACTGGGACTGGTTACTGATGACTGTTTGATAAAATTTTACGCATACCTTGAATATGGCTAAGTTAAACGCTTGTAAAAATGGAATTTTACTGTAGCTTCCCTTTTTTCATTCTGAAAAAATATCACTAATATAACAAGTAATACATAAGACATAGAAATGTCATTTGTAAGCTTATCTTCATAATGAATAAAATGTCCCAATCGATAACACAGTAAATAGCATTTTAGCAAGAGATAATAATTCAAGCTCTTTACATTAAAAAAGACTTCAGAAAAAATATTCCAAATTGTGATGTTTATCGGCTGAGGACGAATCTATTCGACAATGCATTTTCGAGTGAAATGTATGTAAAAAAAAAACCATAACTAAACTAAACTAATTGTAGAACTAACGACTAAACAGTTCGTTACTTACTGATTTTATTTGAATTACTATGGAAAACGTGAAAGTTCTGAACATTTGCTTCGTTCTATTATGGGACCTATTGGCAGTGAACACGCAGGATCTTGAAGAAAACAGTTAATCATCTGAATTACCACCAATATGGGTTCCAATGGTTAGCATTACTAGCTAGAGTAATGATCGTCCAGTCCCATTGAGGTTGAATGGCTGTTTTACCAAGCTACATGTTATAACTGGTGCAGTTCAGATTTGTCATAAAAAGTAAGGAGTGATCAATACCAAATAGTTTTAGATGACAGCTGAAAGTCTAGTAAACTTGCATGCATGACAATTCCTTGTAAGTAATGCTCTTGAATCATGCTAACTCAACAAAAGAAGTAAATTGTTTATCAACTTAGAAATCAACCATTGGTGAAGAAACAGTTCACGTAAAATTCTTTTACACATCTAATTACTCATTACAATCTAATTAATGATGATCATAATTACTAACTGGAAATGCAGATTACATTCTACCTATAAAACAGTATTAAACGCATATCACTTAACACTAAACCATTGTTTAAAGTTTCTTGAACTTGAACTTTGGAAATTAGAATCAGAATCAGACCGACTATTTAATTATTGACGAGTGAGAAACCAGTAATCAATCTCCTATAAAAGAAACTGGTTCTCAGTTTTGTAATTATAAATTTTATCAATTTTGTTTACATTATTTTTGATCACTCAATTATCTATGATATTATCTTCGTTGTAGATAACTCCAAAATTTACCGGGTGTTCAGTAAAACTGCCACTGTTCGCTCAGCCAGATTTAGATTTCATTGCTCCAGAAGCCCAGATGTATAATTCCATGTCACCGCTAGCCGATATGTTTTCCCTAGGAATGGTAGTTTGTGCTATTCACAATCAAGGACATTCTTTGATTGACTCAGAGCAGAATCCAACTGTTTATGTCAAACAATTACCAGAAGTAAGTTAGATTTAGAATTCTATTTCTCAGCCTACTATCCGATGCTTGTTAGTTACCAAGTTATAAAAAGCGACCATCAATGTATATTTCTTCCATTTTTATTAACATCGTCTTATCGCTGCAATGAAATACTTTCAACTGTTATCCACCCAAAATTTCCAAATGAAATGGAAATAAATACGCTTTTAGTCAAGTACAATTTTCTTAGGTGATGTTTTCTAATTCCAAAGGCTTCATTGTTTCTCTTGACAGTTACATCCTTTATGAGAAACTGAGCTATTCATTTTTGCTCATACGAATGACAAATCAACTCTCGTTATAATTTCCTGTTCAAGTTAAAGTATCAAGTTCAATAACATCTAGTCATTAAATCAATAAATGATTTACCAATGAGGGTTTATGAATTCAGACCTCAATTGTACATCTTCCCCTGAGCTATGTATGCCATGTCAAATAATCAATCATTTTATCCAAATTATTAACTATTTCGCCAGTGTGTATGACCTTTCAAACCTTCCATAGTTTAAAAAAGTATCTACAACAATACATGAATAATACAACTACTGATTGTCTGCATTATATGTTCCTAGAAGAATTGAATGTTAGTAGACAAAGTTAACAAGAAAAAGTTAAACAGGAAAACAAATGTAACCTGTAATTTTAGGCGACGTTTCGCTCGATGTGATATTAGACACAATTTCAAGGGATAAACAAAGAGTTGCCATTCCGATGAAATAATTAATAAATACAACCAGGACAGATTATCCAACCTCTCTATTTATTGCCTAAAAAGGAAATTGTACAATAGACAAGCATAATTTGCAATTTGTGTTTTGCCTAAATAATGAAGAGAGAGTGAGAGGCAGAGATGGGGAGAGAGAGAAGAATTGTAGGCATTATACAATTTAATTTAGTTGATTATAATATATACAATGAATTATTCAAATGATAAAAAAAAAATCCATTTCACTAAACTGATTAATGGATTTAAAGACGAGACTACAACTTGTTTTGTTTTTTATTGATAAATTTTTAGTCAAATGAACACCCACTAAGGTAGAAGAATATGGACTATTATTTATTTTTACACATTTGAAATCATTTGAAATCAATCATTGTTAGACCACCATTAGAAACCTGGAAGCACTGGACGGCCGTTTCGTCCTTGTATGGGACTCATCAGCAGTGCGCATCCACGACTCCTGCACCTCGTAGGAGTCTAACTCTGATTGATCTACGGATTTTGCGCGACATTAACACCGTTGGATGCCGGCCCGGTGGTCCAATGATTAGGCGTTCGCGCACAATACCGAAGGTCCCGGGTTTGAATCCTGAATGTAGGAGGAGTCATGGATACGCACTGCTGATGAGTCCCATACCAGGACGAAACGGCCGTCCAGTGCTTCCAGGTTTCTAATGGTGATCTAACAATTATTGATCGATGATTTCAAATGTGTAAAAACACAAAGCTTTAACTGAAAATATTATTTATTTATTTATTTGAAGTTTGTTTGGGATTGTTGTAAAAAGAAGCAAACCTATTTTTGGTAACTTTCCTGAACAAATATCTAATTTTCATCTATAGAGAAAGATTTCTATAAATTTCGTTCAGTTAATTTACAATATCCGAACTCTAAAGCTAAAAGTTTCGCAATCTCTGGATAAATAATAGTAATCATCTGATTATTTTGACTAAATTGAAAAAGGATTTCTGAAGTATTAGTCAGTACCATTGACTTATGGAACTTAATCATATTGAAAATCAGACCAGTATGAAACATTGCAATAGATGATGAATGCATATTATTGTAAATTGACTGAGGATTGAAATATCAACCAATGGTACAAATCCATCGGTGTAAATCTAATGTACTCTCATAGAAGTAATATATTCAATTCTTAATGAAGTCATGATTGCTTACTTCTAGAGTTATGCACGAGAAAAATCCACTGTTTAGTTCGCTCAACTCTACAATAGCCGTCTAGCAGAAATCCTTGTTTTAAAATACTTTTCCTTTCACTTTGTCTAAATTTTTTTTAATATCTAGTCAAAAAAGGTACGTTTTGAAACTCTCCAAGTTATCGTGAACAAATCGTCAGTAAGTTTCCATAACAAAACAGTTCTAATAGACTAAGTATTAAGTTGAAGCAAAATAGTTTGTTTGTTACACTAGAAGCAGACTAAGTGAGATGACTGACAATACTTTCTGTTTGAATGTAAAATCCATGGGACTGAATTTTGGCGTTTTCCTTTTACAAGTATTAGAAAATGGAAATTTTGTATTTTTCTCTGGTTGAGGTATACAGCCACAGTAAATGAAAACATATATGTCTGCCCAAGTCTAACATATATCATTCAGTCAGTCATCAGGAGTGTTGAAACGAAACATCAGGAATGTTTATCTTATCGTTTTTTCTTCTACCTTCTTCATAAGTTGGAGATTCCATTTCATGTTCTTGAAATAAATCAGAAAAGCTAAATTCATTTAAATCATTCACTGGTATATTATCCACAACCTTGAAAGTGATTTAAAGCTTTCAATATGAGCCTAACCTTTCTATCTATGTATTGATTATTTCTTCATAATAATTGATCCAACGGAACATTGAAAAAGTTTATTTCAGATATAAAATACCATTTTTACACATTTACATGAACACATAATAAGCAGATAAGTACACTTATGATTTAAGAGAAGTGTCATAAACATCTCATCTCATTTCTTCCAAAAAAAATAAAGAATTCCATATTTATAAGGAAGGAAAATAATTATGATGATTGATGAACACCTAAACAAGTATCTATAATTTGATGTTACTTATACGTTAAGAGATTTTTTAAATGGCTAGTAGAGAGAAAACAAGTAAAATATGTAACAACTGGTTAGATGAAAAATTATTTCTATGTATTCATTCTTCATCATTGATGTATGCTGTTTCAAATTCAAGAATAATAATTCCATTAAATGTTGCCACAAAGACAATTCAACAGAGATTTCAATTTATATGATAACTCACACACACACAAAATAAGGGGGATTAATCACAAGCACAACTTCATTTTCCCAACTGGGGACTCATCAGCAGCACTTCTCAGATGAGGTCCGTTAAAAGAACAATCTTACTATCTGGAGAGTTTAATGAGACTGTTGCAACTTAAAACTAATTAACCAGGACCTAGTGAAGTTACTTTGTGTCACATAGTACTACATATTCAGTGATGTTAGTGCATGACTCTGAATCAAAGCTTTCCATGAGAAATTTAAAAACTCTCCTCATTACTAGCTTCAAGTGTAATGTTTACTAAAATTTTTGTTTAACTTCATAGTGAACTCCAATCACAGCTATATATCCATTGTAAGATCATTAGACAATCGAATTGATAGTGGAATATAGCTGTTGATTATTAAGGAAATTAAGTTGCCTGATAAACGGTTTTAAAATATTTCAATTCACTGATCAATCGTCTTTAAGTTTTGTTCAAATTATCAACGTACTATTAGAAGTTTTTCCTGCCTATGCCAACTCTCAAAAACAATCATCATTGTTTCACGATTATTTCCGGTTTATAACTAATGAATTAAATATCACTTTAAACAGTATTATTTTTCAAGCTATTCCATTCAAGATTCATTCTATCTTAACTATTACCCATAGAATAAATCATAATTGTCTGAAGTAGATTATACTTAAGTATTTCTGACAGCGTACTATCTGCGTTGACGTTCATGTGTGAAATTGAAGCAACTCTAAACAAATATTTACCTTGTTTTGTGTTCAACTGCTAACCATTTTGGAAATATTTAAGTATAATATCAGTTGACATTGACAATTAGTACTTAATGATTCTCATTAAACAGTTATGAAGATTGCATTATAGGGTTGTGAAAATTGTTGAGTTACTTTTTGAAATCATGAATCGATCGATGTTAGAACACCATTCGAAACCTGAAAGCAGTGGACGGCCGTTCCATCTTCTTATGCGACTGATCAGCAGTTCGAATGCATGACTCCTCAAACTCGCAGGATTCGAACCTAGGACCTTCGGTCTCATTGGTGACTAGCTTCGTCAGGAAATTCTAAGAGTTCCGTGACCAGTAGGATTCAACCTTGTCGGGTGTAGACAGTTACTTACCGAAGACAATGGGTGAAGTTGTTTAATACCTCGGATTTAGCATAGTTAGACTTTAGCATTATTAGGTACCGTCTCAGTGGTTAGGCGTTCATGATCGAAGGTCCTGAGCTCGATTTCCCCATGCAGAGGTCCTGGATGTACACTACTGATGAATCCTTTACTGTATTCCACTATGGAAGTATCTCATCAACTTTTTATCATCTCATTCTCCTGAAGACCTTTAGTGTTATCTGACACATGGAATTTAGGGTGGATAATTAGAAAAAAAATTCTGAAACCAACATAATAAAAACGGTTTAGTGATTTTGTGAGATTGCAATATTTCATCAATTGAAATCATATGATGATTATGAAATGTTTCTTCTAAATCGAAAAAATATTTTGTCATTAACAAATGGAATTTTAGAATTCCATACTTATTAGCCTGAATTGTCATAGCAATTAACTGTTTGAATCTATGGTATCCATGGGACATAAACAATATACGAAAAATGAAAACGTTCTGTTTTCTCAATGTTGCACACTAGAGTCTTTAATTAATAAAGCGTCGTATATATACATATATTTATATATCTGATTCAGACATAACAATCAACCTTAATATTCTATTAAATAAGTCAAAAGTAATAAAAGGTATCTCTACATGATAGATATATCAATAATTAAAATCCTACATAACATGTTGATAATTATTCCTATTTACAGCCAGTTACTAAGCGACATTTGACAATAGCAAACCGAAAAATTAATCAAAAAAAAATACAAAACAGGATGACGAGAAAATTAAATTTATTGATTGTTTGCATTTCCTTCTCTTTTCTATTGTAACAGATTCCAAACAGTTTTGAAAAAATATCTGAACGACTACCTAAAACATTATTAGAACCTGTACGTAAAATGATCAGTCAGGATGTTCGTGAAAGACCAACATCACAGTTATTTGCTTTGGTAAGTTGACAGTTTTCAAATTATTCACTTTACTATGTCAACCAGTCAGTGTACACCATTTTGCTGATCAGTACGTGTAATGATCAATGGAAAACTTTTCTCTGACCACTTTGTCAGAGCCTTTCTATAAATAAGATTCATTTAATTGAAAAACATAGTAAAATAAATGTTTATAGGTCTGTAGTAAATTCATTTTGCTGAATACACGTAATAAACGAATCTTTTTTAGTGGATTTATGTACAAACATAATTACTCTGTCAGTGTGAGTTGGATTGAACAAAGAACGTAGCACGAATGTGCAATTATCACGTAAATGAAGGTTGATCCATTACAACTCTGTTTTAAGCCATCATGCTAATCATTGGCGCATTTATAATTTTTTTTAAAAAAACTCATTTAATCTACAAACCATATTTTCATACATTTGACGAGTGATCTAAAAACGGATGGCTAGAACTGGTCGTTTAATTAATTGGAACATAATGTGATCATCAGATTAAAATCCTAATTATAAAGTATCTTTAGAATGCAATAAGAATTTCAATTGTAGGACGTGAAAGACATGAAATTTGTGCGATAACTTATCTCCTAACTTCTGTCCCATCTGTCTTGCAATCAGTCAAAAAGCAGTCACAAGCATCCACTTGAAAGTCTACTTTTAAAAATGAAATACAGTCATATTTCGATTTTATCAAAAACTCATAATTCACTTGAATCCTCTCATGTTGTCTGTCATACTACTACCACATCTGTTTTGAAAAGTGAAATTGAAGTAGTAAGAGTGGTGTTTTATAGGGGCTAGATTTGCATCAGAAGAAGAGTTTATTTGAAAAAATAGTGATTGTGAGTGTACATACTTCTGATTAGTTCTGATGGTAGGAAGATTGTTCATTGGACAGGAGATCAAACAGGAATGTTGGTTTGCAGAATCGTAGCATTTCGCGTAATTTATTCCGTGTATGCAGTTGATTGAAAAAAACCCACATAGGATGTCATTAGCTTTATAAGCAAACAAAAGTTCCAGGTCTCCCTAATTTTCACAGCTTATTTTACTTACAAGGTGGTTGCAAATTATTTCGTGGAGCTAAGATTCAAATAACAGATGTAATGCCATATAAATGGCGAACGAGTACGGATTCGTCTCTCTATGGTGATCAGAATCATTTTGCCAGCTATTGATTGTACCTACAGGTGTAGCAGGCAAAGAATACTGTTTTCAATTAGAGTTATGGAGTGTTTTAGTGTTTTTACACATTTGTAATCATTAATCGATCATTGTTAGACCAACATTAGAAACCTGGAAGCACTGAAAGACGGTCGTTTCGTCCTGGTATGGGACTCATCAGTGACATTGAATGAATCTCCGAAAGTTATCATAAAATACTGATAAAATAACCATAAAATACTCACCTAAGAATAAGTTAATGATTAGCTCTACATTACTCAGCAATGCCAGAATTAAGTACATTTTAAAAGTCCTTGATAAACGTTTAATTTATTGCACGTTACCTACTAACCGTTTGCGTCCTTTTTAAGGTTAAATAAGTCATATGAGATATTTTTTATTACATGTATCCATAGAAACGTATTTTTGTCCCCCCCCCCGACAACTTTATAGAATTACATTAACTTTTATCCTACTGATTACTGACCTCTGTGATAGTAAGAATTTATATTTTCATTCCTATTTGCTTAGTCGATCGTCAACTGTCAACAAATATTATCATTAAAAAAAGCAAACAACATGACTAATTATTAGCAGCAGTTTTTATCATCATCATCAACTGTTCTCTGATAAATATTCATACTGTTCAAAATTTATCTTAATATAAATAGATAAAAAGATAAGCGAATGTTCTATGGATGCTGATAATCAACTTCTTTGATTAGAGTGAAACAAAATATTGACTGTTTAGTCAGTGTTGTTGATATTTCTGTTATTTTTCTCATTACTGTCATCATTGTTTATGACAATTGTTTGGACGGAGTGAAAAAAGAATAAATGGTTCATTATCTACGGTTGTAAATATATTTCATGATAACCGTGCATAAATAATCGATATTTTGATAATTTGATTAACCACCTTTGATGAACTCTAGTTTTAGCTACTACTTCGACTGAGGAGTGAAAGCACAGAACAATAATACAGAAATTAATATGAAATGACTGCACTTACTGAATTGTTTTGTGACCTACTGATTTTCAATACAGGATTGTAGAGGTTGTTAAGTTACTTTGGAATCATAAATTGATCAATGTTATACCACCATTAGAAACATGGAAGCACTGGACAGCCTTTTCGTCATGGAGTAAACTCATCAACAGTGCGTATCCATGACTCCCGCTACTCGCAGGAATTGGACCTTGAAACTTCCGTCTCGCGCAACTTTATGCACTGTGTTCGGTGAGCACTGCTTCACATCCGAAGAGGGTTGAACTCCAGTGGTCATGACTTCTCACTGGAAGTTGGAGAAACTTTCTCACGTAGCTAGTTACCAGTGATTTATTTTGTTTTTAATTTAAACTAAGTGGCTGTGCTGATTATATTCCAACAGCAACGAACTAAGAAACACGATGGTTTGAAATTACCCAGAAATGGGTTGTCGGCAAAATATCTGGATGAGGGGGAGTTCAGTAAGTAAACTAACAGTGATCAATTTGCTTATCCCTAAGAATGTGTTTTCCCATACTCACAAATAACCTCTAAAATATTGATTTATTGATCGAAATTCACTGATTAAGTGAAAACGTTCAGTAAACTAAGTAGAGACGATAGTTTTAACTAAATATCGAAATGTAGGAAGTCATGAACTTTGCGTTCTGGCACTCCTTGGTTATTTCCATTCAATTGGTGTTATTTTGTACAGAAGTATGTATATATATATATATATATATATATATATATGTATATATATATATATATATTACAAACTATTTTACAATAGATAAACTAAAAAAATACTTGATATATGTGCTGTTTATGTCATCTTTTTAGTTAAAGGTGTTTAATGAACCAGTAGTTCTTTCCTACGAAGGTTTACTTACGTTGAATGAAAAATCAATAAATCAGAAAAAAGAATTCTTCGGTCGATTGCCCAAAGTTATACCTCTATTTGAATCTGTAAGTTCATGTCACAATCATCGATTATGTTTCTTTATTGAACCAAACTCTATTTTAAAATTAAAACTTCGTCTACGATGCAAAATTGAATATCTCCTTACTCACCTATCATGTTATTGATAATAAATGTAAACGGTTTTTAAGGATTTTAAAATTTGCATTTGCTTGCATCATGAGTGAAAAATACATTCAAAGCAGAAAACACTAGATCTCATTCGAATTTCTAATGAGTAAAATCTATGTATTAAACTGTTCATTGTTTAACCGCGTTTTACTTTCCAATTAAAAACGATATTAATGATGACCTTGAAAAAAATCGTGTCAAATGGTTTACTCGAAAATTTTACGGTAAATTCGATTCGTCTTAGAGGATACTAGCATTTTGAATACATGTCATAAAAAGCTAATAACACTGGAAAAATAAGCTTCAATGATACAAATAATGAGGCAGTAATTTATTTTATGGCGTTTATTCTAGAATAATACGAATCAGTTTACATGGAAGCTGAAGAACGAGCTTCATCTAAAATAATAGTAACAATGCAGACTAGTTGAAGGTCTTACCTATTTTTACTGGTTAATAAACTATTTGGTAGAATAAGTAAGATCTGAATCCTGAATATCATCGGCAATACATTTGTTGGATTATAGTCTAATGGGTTTATTTTAATTTTGTTTCTCTTAGTATCCGAACCCAGAACCTTCGGACTTGCGCCCGGATGCCTAACCTCTGGACCACGGGGCCGGCATCCAATGGTTCTCAACCCTGTCGGGTGTAGGCAGTTACTACCAAAGACAAGTAGGTGAGGTCACACAAAATCTCTTGACTGATAAGAGGTAAGGCGTCCGTGCGTGGAAGACCTAATGTCCTGAGTTCGGATCCTGTGAAGTACAGGAATCGTGGATGCGCACTGCTGATGAGTAACATGCCAGGACGAAACGGTCGTCCAATGCTTCTTGGTTTCTAATGTTGGTCTTACAATGATTGATTGATGATTTCAATGTGTACAAACGCTAATCTCTATAACTCTAATTGTAGAAATAATGATTTGAACGGAATCATATCTTATTTCTTTTTCATTCCACCAAGTTCACCCGTTCACAACTTGTCACCTATTAAATATTTAGATTACAAACGATATTTATCATATTCCATTTAGAAATTCTGTTTGTCAGTAAATTAATGGACATTTGTTATTATGTTAGTCAAGCTTTCGGAGATATCGATATTGGTACGCATACTGATTCCACTAATCTTTACCTCATTACATTGATGAGTGATTACTTGAACTAAGATAATTTTCCTAAATATCTATGAAGTATAGCGTGTGATGTTGAGATTTAAGTGTTCCAATTCATGTGCACCTCTCACAACCTTGACAATTTTTTAATTCTTTTGATTTAATAATGTCTACAGCATATCTACAAAGTTCCCGAATCCTTTTACGTCTAATAACTAGTTCTTGCTGTTTATGCAATAAATTGATCGTACCTCTGGTTATATTCTGAAGAACGTTTATTAAATACCACAGTTGGTTAGCTAAAAAATATTTAGATGAAATTACTAACCAGTACTTAAATTATTTAGGAAGTAGAAAACCTTTTTATTCTACCTGTTCTTAGGCCACTCAAAACAATTTTCAATTTAGGTTTTAACGTGGTTAGCCTTGCTAAGTGTGCAATAAAAAATAAATTTAAAAGTTGCATAATTAGTGGACAACATTTAAAATGAGTTAAACTTGTCGTTTTAAAAAAAAATAAATCCAAAAAAATATTTTTTGTCGATAAACTGTCTAAAAACACTGCTTATTTAGACAAATTTCTGTTTCAAGAATACGATGCAAGTTGAAACAGATAACTAAATTCAACATCAAACTTAACTTTGGTAATGATAATAATAATAATAATAGACCTTAATGGATAGTTTAAACCGTAATCTGTTTCCGACTTCTACAGACGCTTGAATTAATGATCGATAGACGTGTAGTAGTGTAGTAGCCTTACCAACAAATGATTGGCTAAACTAATCAACATGTCATCTGACTGTGACAATTATCACCCAACACTTTTCTTTAAGCAACTGAGACATTCAAATAACTTTGTATACTTTTTGTTCCATAGACTAAGACAACCAGAACTGTGCTGTATGACTGATTTACGCTAAGTAGATGCTTTTCGTCAGAAGAGTACCTAAATAAACTTTGTTAACAGTATTCCACGGAAATAATACAATGTGAAGATCACTACTAACCACTCAACTGACGTAGTAAAGTGATACCTAATGATTCTTAACTATCTGTGTATTAATCTATTGAGAAATGAATGAGAAATTCTACACATTTTAAATAATAAGTTTGTAGTGCATGTACTTTTACGCCGAACGCACAGGACTTGCTTAGCCTTTAGAAAATTAATCAACCCATTGTCACCGATTTATCATTCCCTCGTTTCTCTCACGTCTGGCTGATTTTGTCTAACTACAAATACTGAGTCATGTTTAATCGGATGGAGTTGGCTGTTTCTCTGTACTTGTATGCTTTTCATTATCATGTCTGCATGCATGAACGATTCAGCTCACGGGCTACTGAAATGGTGAGCTCTACCTCGAGTTTAACCTAGCCACAAGTCATCACAAAATGATTTACTTACGAAAATTGCTTCAGTGACTGAACTCAAAACTGTGATTAATTGGTGACTAGTGTGAGATTTTTCATCAGTATGTTTTTGTCTACTAACCACTTGTTCACACCATGGTTTAGCGAAACAGACTGTGATGCCCACTAATAATGAGAAAATAATAGACTAACTAAATTACATAATTTGGCAATGGTAAGTAGTATTTAAAACTTAAATATATTGCCATTGTTTTTTATTTAAAATATTTAACCAAAGACTTCAGTCTTTGGTTATTTTCCTTAGCTATGGTATACCACATTTCATTTAAATCCATCCTCTACATACAAATAATATCGTAATTTCCGTATTTGATATTTCAATTGCCGGTCAATAACCACTTATCAAATCAACTGTAATGTCTGACTAGCCATTTTTTCTTTTCCGATTTCATTTCAGAATGTCAGATATAAATACATTCTACCGCTTATTTTACAATGGTTAAATGAATCCAATGAATTGATCCCGAGCATTCTACCAACATTTTTAACGATGATTAAAGTGGCGGAATCGGACGATTATGACAGATATTTAAAACTTCATTTGCAGAAAATTTTAACTGAAACCAAATCACTTCAGGTAAATAAATTATTTAAAGCTACAGAAAAAATGACATGAATTATCATTATTTTTTATGTCATTGTATTTGAAAATGTGACATTTCATTGTTAATCACTTGGATTAGTGTAACTGACTGCAATCTTTCGAATGGTTGTTCTGTCAGTGCTTTCAATAATTAAAACAAAACTGGTTTTCTTCAATTCACTTATGTACTATGAGTCTTGTTAAAGGCTTCAATACTATTTAAATAAATTATTTGCCTTGGGCAGGTAAAGGAATCAACTCCAGATAACATTGTTGACCTTTACTTGTTTAATTTTTTTGGAGAAAACTATGTACATGAAACACTCAGCTGACTGTGATCTCTCTATCATTATACACTACTAATAAACAAATATCTTTTGAAATGTTTCAAATAGAGCTACTGATACCTAGCATTTGACTGATAAATAACGAAAGTTGAATAATCTTTTTCGAAACTAAACTGACAGATATTACTCAATAATTTGTGAAACGACTATTTATCCACTGTGGCCTAACAGGTAGCTAGTTAGTTACCTCCAAAAGAGTTGGGAATAAATGAAAACGATCGAATTCTCATATCTGTTCAATCATCACGAAAACCCATATATAACCTGTAACGAACTGATTCGCTATTATTAGTCCTAATCGCATAGTTTTAAATATTCTCTACATTCATTCATGTTAAAATGACAATAATGACTAAGACTATTCCTTTTGAGAAATCACTTCATTGTTTGCTTGTAAATATTCACTGAGTTTCGATAGTTGCATGCTACAAAGAAAACCAATTACTGCCTTCCTTACAAAGCATAGACATGTGACTTGCTCCTAAACATTGATAAGGATTGTTTCATTTCTAATGACCAAACACTTTTTTACTGATATGGTAAAAAAAGACTGCTGATTTCAGTGTCATTGACATTTGATATTGTGGTTTTTTTCCAATCATCAGTGACGTGGAATTAAATTTCGGAAAGGAGTAACTATATTGGTAATATCTGTTGGCCGTTGACGGTTAGTTCTATGATATTGTGTGTATACATGTGTTGACATAGTAAATTATTAGTGAATTAATGTCAAGTAATACACAATTTAATGAATACAAATCTGAATGTAAATTAGTGTAAATCCGATACATTGATCTACGTTGAGATTACAAATGCAGAACATGTTATCTGATTTGAAAATGTTGTAACGAATACTAGTGGGTAAGATTATGAATACCACATATTCGACACACAAAACACCAGTTATAATTTAGTTACTTACGCTTCAACATCACAGAAATAAGAAAATACAATGTGGACAAGTGACAACAAATAAGTGGACAGTGAAATGATACCTATGAGTTATCGATATCTATAAAAAAAACTAGGAAAAACACCTTGTGAGTATCTTCCGAAAGAACGGCCATCCACGCAACTTCATCAAGAAACATCAACAGAAGCGAAATCCAGTACAGGAACCAATAAACGGACTATCCTACCAAACATGAAAGACATATAGGAGCATACAGAACGACTACTGAAACCGTTTGGAATAGGTGTGGCACACAAACCAACAGAATCACTTCAATCAATCCTATGTAGACCAAAGGACAAAATGAAAAAATAAGAAAAACCGAATATCATCTACAAAATAAATTGTACAGACTGTAAAAAACACTACATAGGACAAAGTGGACGGCCTCTTCAGCTTCGTTTACGTGAACACCAATTAGCAGTCGAACGCCACGACAACGCTTCGCTTATATCAATACACACCAATAATGATGGACATACATTCGACTGGGACAATGTGGAAATACTGGATAGGGGGAGGGCAAAGAACGGAGAATTTTTAGAAGCTTGGCACTCAGGTCAATCAGCAATCAACAAACACATCAACATTCACCCAAATTATCAACCAATCAGAAAAATCATAGGTGACATAGGATTAACAAACAGATCAAAAGGGGGATACAATCAAAACAAAGGTGCAAACAATCACAGGTTTGAGGTCAACAGCAACCAATCAAGATCGAGGTTAGCAGAACAAACTTCAGGTCAAACGTGGGGAAATTCGAATACTTCACTTCTATCTGAAGTTTGTGCTGATAATGTTGTTCAGAAGAACAATGAAAGCTCCACAACCAAAACATCCTGCTCAGAGAACCAAACACCACCACCACAAATTAGTTAAACGAATCACAAACACTAAGAAACTATAACTTTCTATTCCTATTCATATTACCCCCTCTTCAAATGAAGTATTAAAGCTGTTATAGTTGAAATATACTTGACCGAAAGCTTTATCATTGTTGGGGGAAAATTCATTTTAACAATGCCGCATAGTTATCTGAATGGGTTTAGGTGTGATGAATCCAGATAAAAATATCGTTTTCTTGACATTGATCTTTCTCACATAACAAGCGATGTTGAAATCAATTCGACAACGTTATTATTTCGAGTAATTGGTCCTTTTTAAAAAATTTCCAAAGCCTGGTGAACTGATGGAGTTGATCAGTAAAAAAAAAAATTCGAAATGTTCATTCAATACATGTTGATCAATTGATTATCTCTAACCAAAATAATAATTAGAAAATATACACCACAAATACATCATACTTTTTTTCTTCACATCATTTCAATCTTTTAGTCTCAGTTTACAGAAATCCTATTATCTAATCAAACAACTAATTATTTACTACTATTGTTTAAAGGACTTAAGGAAGTTCTATGCGCACAACACTCTGACGACTGTCCACTGTTTTCGTATTTATGCTCATTGATGTGTAACCAGTGGGTTATTAGTTCGTAAATAGGCATGCATGAACAATGAATGCATCATCATCATCATCATCATTATTATTATTATTATCTGTACAAAAATATACTCCTCACATGACGCCGATGGCTTAATAAGCTAGCTAGCTCCATTAGCATTGTGAGTCTTTTCATTCTCTCTACTCATTTCAAATTATGTCTCACTGTGTATATGTCTGTGTGTATGTGTGTGTGCATGTGTGTGTGTGTGTGTTTCAATTCTCCAGTGATGATATCAGACTAGTAGCTAATTTTACAAATTTTCATTCAACCGTAATAAGTAGTAATTAGTGTTGAGTAGTGCGGAGAAAATTAGAAAGTCAGCGCTAATGAATGATTGCTGGTGATAACAAAATCGCAACAACAACGACAACAAAAAAAGGCAAAAAAAAAGAAATAAATAAACCATTTAGAAAAATTTACCTAGTTGATTTATTTTTTTTTTTTGATTTTTTGGCTTTTCATTTTTCACTGAGCAAATCGCTACCAACCAAACCAAATCGCTTACTTCACATAATGAACAATGTTGACTAGGGAAAGGATGTGTGTATGTGCGTTAAATGAAATTTGTCTGTTGCGATAAAATATTACTGTGAATTAATTTTCGGAGTCCATTAACATTCAAAACAGTTTTTCTGTTTTTTTTGTTTTCTGATTTTTAATCATGATTATTCATGAGATGTGTAGAATAAATAATCAATCCAGTCGACTGAATAATCGCAACAAGGCTAATTTCATTATGTAATAAGACACTTGAACAGACTTATTCGTTAAGATCCTGAGCCTTACAATCATACGATTGATCAGCTTACGGAATTCAAAGATTGATTCGCACCCCACCCCCAGGGATAACGATCAGCTAGTTAGCACACATTTAACAAATAGGCCTTTTTCAATGCAAAAACTCATCTTGAATAAAAAGGTGATTTCGTAGTAGATTGTCTTCTGATTCAGCAATGTCACAAGTATATATCTTAGTTGTATGAAAAGATTATGTGAACTATATACTCACCTAATTGTTTGCATTTTTGAAAGCTTAATAACTGTTAATTACGTACGGGCATTCTTTGCAGTATAGAATATGTGTATTAGACTGGAAAGAAAGACCGAATTAATTTTACGCTGTTGATTAATTGAGCGGTATACGAAAACGTTTTCATTAAGAAAATAATTTTTGTCAGATTCTGACTGATATACTCTCAACAGAATCATTGAAACTCAGATAGCACAAGGCAGTTGTGCTTGTATAGTTTCGAGCTGCACATACATTGCAAACTCACTGGTCTGTACAATGTTAAACCATTGATCTTCTGTCCTACAGTGAACACGACTCATGAATTAGATTTCTTGACACAATTTTCAGCCTGATTTAGAATTGTTCATCCTCTCGCTCTTGACATGGTGATATCTGCTGAAAAAAGTAAATCGGATTTTGTTTTGCTTTAATGACCGTTGTGATAAGGTTAAAAAACATGCTGCAAGACACACTGTTATATCCCTCTTGGTTTCTCAATTGGTGAAAGTTTAACTAATTCAAAGAATGATGATGGGGGGATAATGCGACTCCAGTGTATGAGGTCTAAACGTATGAATTAGTTAGTTGCATTTTATTTCAAACAAAACTGATTTATTTTTTCACACATTTGAAATCAACAATCAATCATTGTTAGATCACCATTAGAAATGATCGGTTGATGATTTCTAAAACACTAATCTCCATAACTCTAATTGAAAATATCGTAAAATGTGCTCACTAGTGACTAGCTTCATGAGGAGATTCTCGGAGTTCTAGTGAGAAGACGTGACCAGTGGAGTTCAACCCTATCGGGTGTAGGCAGTAACTACCAACCGAAGACAAATGCGTGAGGTCGCGCAAAATCCCCAGATCAATCAGAATTAGACATTAACACTGTTGGATACCGGCCCAGTGGTCCAGAGGTTGGGCGTTCTTGCCTAGGACCAAAGGTCCCGGGTTCGAATCCCGTGAGGTGCATGAGTCGTGGATGCGCACTGCTTATGAGTCCCATACAAGGACGAAACGGCCATTCACTGCTTCCAGGTTTCTAACGTTGATCTAACAATAACTGATTGATGATTTCAAATGTGTAAAAAAAACACTAACCTCCATAACTTTAATTGAAAATTGATTTAGAATTAAAAAAGTTTGTATTTACTGCCTTTATATTCCTTGTAAAATATATTGATAGGGTAACTTTCATAAAAGTTGATTTGTTTACTACGAATGACTGATTAGGCATTTAATGGATTATTTCCATTGTTTTTAATATTATTCAGTTAACTTATCAATAATAATAAATGAGGTCATTTGGATTTTGAAAAAATTTTATTTATTGTATGAAAGTTTATCAGCATAACATTTTAGTTTTTACTTAATTCTAAAAAGTTCGCAATCAAATTTTTAGTTAGATTAATTTGTATTGTTAATAATAGCTCAATATGAAAACAATTAGTAAATAAAAGGTCTGTTTAATTGTGTCTTTTTTAATAATGCTTGAATTGTGACCAGTCTTTGTTAGGTTATGTGGTGAACCCGGTGTAGATAGGCGTCGATAAAGTCATTTTCTTGAAAAATGATATATCAGGATAGATGGATTGTAAATAACGATGGAATCATGAAGTAGTGTTTTATTCAATTTTTCGAGACGCATCAACTGAAGAATGTATCTGAATTCCAGTGCTTGTGATCTAGTTAAAATACTCACAAGATTTGACAGTTGGTTTGACAGGTAGCAAAGAAATTTGTTTAATAGTTTACTTGTAAACTAAGCAAGGTGTCACGATCTATTTCGTAAACATATCTATTTGTCGTACGATATGACTCTCGTACAATTTGATTGATTGGCCAATGTTTCAATCCTCACACTACACTGGCTACAAAGGTAACTCTTTCCTACCACAGTTTGGAGAAATCGTTAATAATCCCATCCATTCTGCAAGTACACTAAATGTTACCTAATGCACCAGAGGATTCTTATTTATTTCCACTTTAAATCATGTTTACGGATACACCTGAAGCTGTGGTTTACATTCAAGCTTATAGAAAATATTCTAATCATGTTCTTTAACCAATTTTTTTCAGACAAGTATGGTAATACTGGATCATTCAGATTTCTTCATTAATCATATTAGTCAAGAGGACATTGAAAATCTTGTGCTTCCCGAATTATTTATCTGCCTCGAACCAGGCACTCCAAAATCATTGGTAAGCTAACATTTTCACACATTTTCACACACATAAAAGCTGAATATTAAAATTTAGGAATTATTTTTTTATGAGTGAGAAAAATTTTTCATGACAAAGATATGGTTCTCAACAGAATGTAGGCTGCCAAGCATAATCTGTCATCATCAATAGCTCTTAGCATTCATTTTAACAAACACTGTCAGTCTTGCAGTAATATAACACCGAATGCATATTTGACAGAAACTTTAATTACCCAACCGATAAGAAGTGTTGCCAAGTTAATAAAATAATGAATTACTGCTAAGTAGTGATTGGAAAATCAAATGGCCGATGATTTTTTGAATAATAGGTAAATAGGACTCAAACCTTCTTTGTTGCGGAGTCCCAAACATAGTGTGTTTCAAGTGCTGATAATGACCCTATTATTTCTATAAATAAACTTGTCATTTAAGGAAGTCCTTTGGTAGTGTTATTACTTTCTCAAAATTACACCCGGCTCCTAATCAGCTTTACACAATATAGGTGAAAGTTTTTGTTGTATGTATTCAATAATTGTTTACAATTCTTCAACGTATTTTCTTTTCTAAATGTATCATTACAAAATCAACAATGACAGGAAACTGTTCAGAATGCAATTTCAGTATTGTCAAAATATCTAAGTAATACTCAAATTGTCCAATCAATTCTACCACAGCTCAAAGAAATTTACAATCGTAAAACGTCAAATCTAAAGGTAAGCTAAATAGGAAAAGTATTTTTATATGAATAAAAAAGAAGAATAAAAATGTACATGTTCACCAGTTAACGATTATTGATATGGAGGTTTTGTGCAGATTGTCACATTTTCCCTGTTGAAATCACGAGTTGACTGTGGCTGGAGCACTGGATGGTCTTCAAGTCCTGGAATGAAACTACTCAACTATGAGCATCCACAACTATGCACATTAGAATTGAACCGAGGGCCTTCGTTCGTGTAAGAGACCTTTGAGCTGGAATCTGATGGTCGTAATGTTTACCTTAAATCAGTCCATGATCTTAAGTATCCCTTCATCCTTTGCCTGTCTTGGATAACTGTCTTACACCCGACAAGTATTGAACTTCATCGGTCACAGTTTCTCATTAAAACTTGAAGCTGGTTACTAATTAGCTCATGGTTGTAATAAGTATAAGGGATTTGTGGAAACTAGAATTTCAGGTTTAAAACAGATCACATATTGTCAAATAAACGATTCATGAATTTCATGGAATAAACTTTAAACAACAGTGGGTGATGACATTAGAATCAGCATCTACGTCAAACAGAACTTTAATTGTTATCATTAGATATAAGGTTATTCCTGGACATCGTACGACTTATCAACAAGCAAACACAGGAAATACCAGATCAACTGGCAAACAGGAGTAAAAGGTCTTATTGACTGAATATTAAGTATCTCTAATGCATAGCATGGATATCCGATTCTATTAACGCAACAAGCTATTATTTTCTAGAATTTTTTCAAAGAACAATCACTCGGACTTTATCGATCTGAAAGTAAACTGTGAGTTGAAAATACATAACAATGCATCCATTTTCAGATTCCCATGCATCAAGTTCAAGGGCTGAAAACACTTTCATTTTGCGGAAAGTAATAAACTATATGTTGATTAGATTTAATGAGTACAGAAATACTATCGAAGAATGTTATCTATGAATTAAATTAGTAGCGTTGAGTAACTTTTACAATTATTTCCTTACAACTTTCAAATAAAACTCAATCTTACTTAAACAAACATCATATAATTTATAACTTATATTTTTACAATTTTTAAGGTTCATTGAAGTATTTTTATTTACTTCCTTACGCTTGTTACCACCGATGCAACATAGTATTCTCCACTCGAGTCTGTCCTGGGCTTCCTTTTTCAGTTCTGTCCAATTTTTGTTCATTCTTCTCATATCTTTCTCTATTACTAGGCGTAATGTGTTTCTTGGCCTTCCTCTTTTCCTTTGACCTTGAGGGTTCCAAGTGAGGGCTTGTCTTGTGAGGCAGTTGGGTGCTTTCTGCAATACGTGCCGTATCCACTTCCACCGCTTTATCCTGATTTCCTCCTCCAATGGAATCTGGTTTGTTCTCTACCACAGTACGTTGTTGCTGATAGTATCTGGCCAACGGATCTGAAGTATTTTGCGTAGACAACTGTTAATAAATACTTGTATCTTCTGGAAGATGGCTTTGGTAGTTTTTCAAGTTTCCGCCCCATACAGTAGAATCGGCTTGACATTTTTTATTGAAAATTCTGAGTTTGGTGTTTGTTGACAGTTGTTTTGAGTTTCAGATGTTGTTCAATTGTAGAAATGTAGCCCTTGCTTTGCCTATCCGCGCCTTCACATTTGCATCATCAGATCCACCTTGCTTGTCAATGATGCTGAATAAAACAATAGCTTTTGTAACATTCGTTTTAAATCACAAGGGTTTTTCTGAAAACCCATGGAAGATAGCCACCCATAGAAGACATGATTTCTGCCTTATTCACTTTATTGTCACAAAGCACTAGGATAGCATGAATTCTATTCATTTCCATTTGCTCAATATCGTCAACATATACTGATTTTTAATGTGAACAAGTTTACCGCAAAGAAGTTAAATTGTCCAATATTCTAAAGTGATATGTATCGCCTCACATACACTTGAAGTTTGTTTACGTTTAATCTTGTTAAGCCCTTTTATTAACTTACTTAACAGACAGAGTCGTTGGCATAGTAATAAATTATCTGTACCATTGTACTTTTATTATTATCGCGTTTCTATCAGCAGTTATGACTAAACATTGCTTACCGCCTACACAAATATTCATCAAAACGTTTTTCAATACGAATATTTATTTGGAATTAAATATTTGTAAATCAACTTTTGTGTTGCACATTTTCATGACTCATTGTTTTGTTTTGATTTGTTTTTTTTTTTAAGATTCGTATTGCATGTTTGGAATGTTTGGGAAGACTTTTGAAAAAATTCACATTATCTACACTATGCGATGATGTACTGCCATTTTTGAGTTCAATTCGTACAGTTGATCGTGAATTAGTTCTTGCAGTTGTAGGTAGGTTTCATCTGAATACTTTTTTTTTTGTTCCCTGATAATAAATCTACTAGAGACACGTGACATAAAAATTACACTCACTATAACTTTTAATGGAAAGGCTTCAACAATGATATCTCTATTGTCAGTGATTCTGTTTGTAAAAATTTAGCCCATGTCAATGTAAATCTACAGGGTATGCAATACTAACTACTAATCGATCACTAATAAGTACCAAATAGGCTTCTTGTTGGATCCCTATTATTGATTGTATTTGCATTGTGGCACTCATAGACGAAGTGACTGGTCGACCTTGTTTACTGCCTGTGCACACCTAACACAAAGTGTGAATATATATAAAGAGACAAGTAATTTTCATTCAATATCAATAACCACAGACGTGTTACCACTTTCAGCAATACTGATGCAATGGCAAATCACAAAACAATATCGCCTGGTTATTTGAAAGAAAGAATAGTCTTCTAAATAAATTCTCTTCAGGTCTGCAATTTGACATCCAAATTAATAGTCACTATAGTGGCTAGACATAAGGCAAATACATAGCTTAAAATTATGGCATGTTTATTCAGGACTATTTGTAAATTACCATAAAATTAATAATGTTGAGAAATGAATCTGATATTTTAATTAGAGTAAGTTTATATGATAGAAAGCTGAAGATAATTTACTAACAAATGCCACAGCAAAGAAGATATAAAATCTCTTCTGGCCTGGTCATTATTTGAACTATTAATTTAGGTGATGTGATTGAAGAAGCTGAATAGAATTGATTGAACAGACTATTCTTCCTGTTTTGAGATTAGGAGATTGTTATTGGGCGACTAGAATGTTGTGATCAACACTTTGTCATATGGCTCATAGCTTTTTTTTTATACAATTATTACTTCAGCTTTGAATCGTCGACTTCTATCAGAAAGAAACAATGAAATTTCATATACTTACATAGCTGGGATGTTATTACCTTGTATGGTGAACTTTTTGGCATTGAAAACACTGACTATGCCTGATGTAAGTTTCAATGTAATTTGGATTCTACTCGTGTTGGTATTTATTGATTCAAAATGAAAATAATATATCAGGAATTCGTGCTCAGTTATTTCAACATTAACTTTTGGAAAAACCAGTTATGAATGAAAAAGCTTTTTTAAAACAAATTAAGAATTCAATTTATAAACCTTTGTAAACATTCTTGTGTACCTTTAAGTCACAGGTTCTCATTCCATCTTACCATTTCTCAAAATCTTATCATGACAGTGAATGACTAATCAAGGAAATCCTTACCGGTACAGGAATGTAATAGGATATATTATACAGAGACATTATTCTGACTTACAAAACCTTGAAGTGATATCTGCATCTACTACTGTTAGAGCGTAAATTTATCAGTAAGCAAAGTGTTCACCATTGAGAAATGTTCCAATTTAGGCACTGATAAACACTAGTTGTTAACTAATTTGTTTATATTAGCCCCTTAACACATCTTTGTGACTCTCTCTTTTCCAACCAATAGCAATTACATATTACGGAAGCGCATTGCTAAAGGTTACCATATTGGGCAGAAACAGTAGGTCTAGTGATTCCTGGCTTTTCGCCGTTGGTTATGTAAGATCAGTCCATAATATAAACTATAATACTGACAAGTCTTGGTTACGTAATCATACATAGTCCTATAAATGGGGAATTTATGTAGACTATTTATACACTTTAAATAGTATTCTACTAAAACAGGCAAAACATGACAACAGTTTTGAACATCTCCATGTACGATTTTGAAAATTAGGGAAAAAGATACTCATCCTAGGACAAATACAAATAATCTTTCTTTTATCGTCCAATCTATTCCGTGAGTGCCTCATTCGATTAACAAATCTACTGTCCATCGAACTGTATAAAAATAAACCTGACTTACATATATCCACTTTCATTTTGTGAATATTCACCATCTGTAACAACCTACTCTAAATCGATCCCGAGACCCACCTATTAATTACTCCTCCTGGTTCAACTGATAATTCCCTATCGCTTTACCAGATTTCAAACTTAGCATTTTAACCTGCAGACAGCTTCTGTATTGATATGCTGTACAATACAACTCTCTTCAAGCTCTACAGTTTTGTTTTATTTAGTTAATGTGTTTGCTTAATTACTTACTGAGACTGTAAAATCAATGCCAATTAGTATTTTATCTGTAAAAAGTCATTCTCAATACCATAATAGGTAAGCTTTTTGTATACCACAGATTATTTGTAATACAACAATTCTTGATTAGAAGTAAGTAGTTAACTTCCCTACAGGAAATTTTCTTCATTCATTAAAGACAAGGATCTTTTTAGAATACAAAATTTTCATTATATTCATATAGTCTAACCAGTCCGATTAACTAATAGTTTTTGAATATAGACTAAAGAAATTTTTTTAAGAACAAATTCTGTATTACCCAACAGTAAATCCGTTAAAATGTTCCAGTAAAAATTGTTTAATTAAACTGTTTCTGATGAATCGTTTATGTAAAGTAAGTCGGATGTTTCGGCAAAAAAACAATCACGTTACGATATATATACACTAAGGAAATAAAGAAATGAATTTTTCTCGGATTCACATTAATTTTTAATCATTTTCAAAAGGTGTAAAAATTTATTTTTCCATTGTTTACGTCTAATATGAAATGAGTTAAGGCTTGGCTAATGGATCTGTTTAAATAAATTTATAGGATTGGAGTCTGCTCATTGTAATGGAATTCTAGAGAGTTTCAGTAGGTCAGCTTATGTTTTTTAAGTTGTATTTATATCTTGCGTACAGCAACTAATACTAATACTAATTTCAATAAACCATGTAGATAAGTTGGTATCTGAAATGACAGTCGCCTACGAACCGTATACTTAAATTGATGTGTGCATTTAGAGATGATGTATGAGTGATTCACATCGACCGTCGACTTGAACATCGTGTCATGGTTTTATTGAGTATAATATGTTGATAAATGTCATCTCTAACCTACCATTATTTCTATGAAATTCATATGAGAATCAGTAAAAGACGAGTGACGTAATGCGCTGAAAAGCTTTGCCATAAAAAGCGATATTTTTATTTAATACATGTGCTATTAAATTCAACACATAAAATACCTTCAACGATTGAGCATGAGATCAATAGTTTCGAGTCCCAATGGAAATATCAACTGAATAAAGATCCATCCAAGCGGCAAAATCTGAAACCGTAATTATTATTGAAAACATTGCTACAAGTGTTGGGGTCGCTCTCAGAAAGCACGATGAGGTTCTCAAGAAGCACAGGAGAAGACTCCATCCGGGAGCAACCCGATAGAATCTCTAGAATATCAATGTGGATGACTGTGTAGCATTGCTGTCTGTGGACTGGATGATTACATTAATGTTTTCACTCTATATGAAAAACTAAACTAGCATACAATTCCCTGGTACATTCTGACATATACTAAAGTGAAGACTTCTTCCGTTTTCTGAATGTCCATATACATCCTACGTGAAATTCTAATAGCTCCAATCTGAAAGGTTATATTGTTACCCGTACATAGTAGCTGACTTACGAACAATCATAGATTGTAGTTATGCTAAAGAAGACATCTGATACACATATTTTAGAACTTTACCATAGCTCAACTCGAAATTGATGTAAATTAAAAATTTAGCCCTTATATGGTGGATGCTACTCATGAAGCAGTATGTGAGCAGAGTGCAGCGGAGCATCTCCTGAAAGTTGTTACCAGAGCAGTGTCTGGAGGTCGATATACATAGTGTAGTGCGTATACTTTTATTTCGAGCCCACAGGGCTTCTCCCAGTCTTATGACAAATTAACTAATCCATCCTAGTCGAGTTACTTAACCATCTTTTGACTTTGCCAATTATTTGCTTATTCTTGGTTGTTTATATTTGAGTATGTGTGCATCACTTACTTCGCTTATTACACATTTAGCTTATTTGTTTGACTATAAATGCTTAGTCATACCTCATTACACTGATTTAGGTCGCTTGCCTTCTCCACTTTGCTTGCACTCTTTTCGTTCTCATACACGAGCAATTACCTGAAATTAACTCATTCAACTGAATCCGTATTCGGCTTCTTATTACCGCCTTCGTACAAACGGGGTTCATATATGGAAACTGAAGAGAATATTTATTTCATAGCGTATTTAATAGTTCATAAATATTAGAGTCAGATTGCGGGTCATTAAATTGGCGAACGCTACACCGAATTTAACGTAGCCACTAAAATAGCATGGTCAGAGTATTTGGAATACCAGTAGAGATGTGACAGAAGACAGTCAATAATCTGCTTGAATTGCAAGTGAATGATTGAAGACTATGTGTACGTATTTCGTAAACCAATTGTATCTTCTCCTAATAATATGTATTCTCGCTGGTCTCGACTTCATCATATGTTACATTTGGCATATTTTCATTATCTTACATGTATTACTACTGTATTTTTCTTGATAGTAATCGATAATAATAATAATAATAAAATCATTACTTTAATTTCAACCACAGTTCCGGGCTGTAGTTAATTTAACTCGAACCATGCTAGACCTTATCGATCGACAGCGTTCAATCGAACTAAGAACACAAACTGGATCGAAATCAGTCGGTGGCAGCTGTTCTGACATGAGGTTAGTAGTGTAAATATTTTTGGATACATTTTTGGCAACATTAAATTGTTATCGACAAAATATATTCATCTAATCAAAAAGTACAACGACATTTAAAAGTGAAAAATTCATTCTGTTGCTCCGACTAAATAACTTTTCATCATTTTATCAAAGTATCATTACACGAATGTAGTTCACACTTCAGACTAGTCAACTGGTAGTAGAATAAGAAACAGTAAGGAAGACAGATTGTACATTTATTATTTACTATCTATGAGTTATTCCCCCATTCAGTATAATGTTTAACTAACTTTCATACATAAATCATCTGACTTATTGGTTTTTAAAGATTGAACAAAAGAATTATTCTAAGTGACTTCATTTATCGATTTGATTTAACTTCTTGTTTTGTTTTTTTTTTGATGGCATTCGAATCAGCTCATAATGAAATTCACAAAGAAAAACTCCTAGAAAATATTCTCTTGAGATGAAAGGCGTTTACTTTGTTGCTGGATTCATAAAAATGATCAATAGTTAGCATGAATTTTGAAAATGAGTACCAATCCCTTCCTTACATGTGATCACAATCCTGATCACTGAGAAACACTATGTATGTTCGATAAGATGCTGTAAATGTATATTATCTAGGGTTCCTAAAAAACTACTACATAGAATCTTTTCAACAAAAGATGATTGAAAATATTTGGTTTGTGCAGTGTAATTGATGATTACACACACATAATAAATGGTCACTGATCTCATATGAAATCATTCAGGCCTATAAATTCTGAATCATAAATTAAAATTACTCATTTATAATATGATGCTTCTTCGTTTTCTGAAGCTGGTATTAATCACTGATAGTGTGGTGCGCGCTACTTATAAGTGGTATATGACGCGAGTGTAAACGTAATGTCTGGCAGCAGAAGATCGGGGAAGATCAAGAAAGGAAGAGTGGAAACATCATGGAATTTGTATGAAACACATGAATAGCGAAATGTCAGACAATGGATTGATGATGGATTGAAGATTTGCAAATTAACGGTTACGATATAGTTTTCCTATTTTACTGAGTAACTCCGTAATTTTCGTTAAATACGATTCGATTGCCCTCACCTGTGTTCTCCTTCACTACAACAGAACCGATCATTCTTTGTTAGAAATTAACATTCGTCAAGCTTCATTATCGTTTCATGGATTGTAAAAGCATGTATATTTACATTTGTTCTTAATCCCTTTGTATAAATTCCTCCTGTTATTCAGGTTTGTGTTTCTTTTTAAACTGAATTTTTACTGCTTGTGAAAGAATGAATACTAAGTATTCAAACATTTGTTTTTCTTGCACTAACAGTTTGCCATTTGGTGCACCTCGAAATCTTCCACTAATCGCTATGCAACGTCCAACTATAGATTCTGAATTATTATATGTAGATATGGATGATCCAAAGCTTTCACGGTCTAGTTTGGGTAAGATTCTTTACTTTATCAAATAGTGTTAATAACTATATTTTGGAATAAACCTTAACAATTTTTTTTTAGAGTTCACAGTAACTTGTTTCGTTTGTCAACTTCTTTAAGGTGATTTCTTTAATGCTTTCTTTGCCTAATGATGATTCATAGGTTTGTTGATAAGGTTGGTTAATTGTATCATAAACGGCGCTATCCTTTGTTTTTAATAGAGGATTTCATAAAACGGTAAGCATCCACAACCTCACTCACCACTGGGAATCGAAGCGAGGATGTTTAGTTTTTCTTGCGTGGAGTTTGTGTAGATTTTGTAATTTTCTTAGTTAGGAATCGTTTCAATTTTATCTTAACTTACAAAACAGTAAGGTAAATTACTAAAAGACCGCAATTAATTTTATCCTAACAAGATCATCATCACTGAATACAGATCATAGAGGATTGGGAAAAAAAATCCTTCTTACATACATAAATAACATCACATGAACAGATTTGAACATGTTTCGTATAAGATAACCTACATGCATAGACCAACAACACATGTTAAATATCTTACTACAAATGTATATTTATGAAGTATATATTGAAGCTCTTTAACCATATCTGTAATCGATAATTTTGGTTTCGATTAGCATCAGATTATCAAGTAAAATATTGAACTGTCTCGGTTCAGTTGTTGAAATTTTAACTGATACAACTTTTTTTTTCTTTTATGACTGTAGTTTTAAATTGTATCTGTTCGCATATCAAAAGTTTGTTCAAATCTTACATCTTTAGACCCGTTTTTATTAAGTTGCAAAAAGCTTTGATATTCAAGTTTAACACGATCTATCTCCGATTACATTCGGTCAATTTAGGGTGATGTTTATATCAGATTGTATTTTAACGTGAACTAAACAATTCTGCTACCGCTATTGTTGATGAATTTTATCATCATTTAAAAAATGAATTGTTTTTGAGACTTTCTACTGAAAAAGCGATATGATAAGAAAACAATGAATAATGCTTAGTAATGTAAAGTGACATTAAAACCTAACTGCGCTAAATATTGTAAACGTTTTTGATTGAAATGATTGAACAAATACCTGGATAACTCACTCTGAATTCTAAACTTCAAAGCCTCTAAAAATTCATTTTCTGCATGAAATATATTAATTCTGAAAAAGCCCACTGAACAGAACAGGTTACAGTTTATCTACCAGTGTACTGTGAAAATCTATCTCACAGTAGAACATATACATTAGACTTCAAGCAATATAAATAAAAGCAAAAACAAGGTCATTTAATTGTGCATCTATGATGTTCTTGAAGCAAACAGCATCCTACCAAAGATTTATGCTTTATTTCATTGACTCATAGATTATCGTCGCAGTTCTGGCAGTGAAGTTACTGGAGCAAATCGATGGAGCAGAAATAGCTTGTTGAGCCAACGGTTACAAGCTTCAAAACATAGATCAGAAAGCTTATTGTTCAATACAAAGCACAGAAACTGTAAGTTTCACCATAGCATATATATATGTGCTTATAAACTACAAACTATTATAAAGTTGAATTAAACTATATTTTTGAAAGTTATTTATTTCAAGTCGTACTTTCTGCAAATAACTATTGGAAAAAACTGGGAATTTTTGATTGGGTTTCTTATTGTGATTGTGTTTCGTTCTCTGAGTTGGATGTTTTAGTTGTGAAGCTTTCATTGTTCTTCTGAACAACATCATCAGCACAAAGTTCAGATAGAAGTGAAGTATTCGGATTTCCATACGTTTGACCTGTACCGTGTCCTGCCAACCTCAATCTTGATTGGTTGCTGTTGACCTTAAACCTCTCATTGTTCGCACCTTTGTTTTGATTGTATCCCCCTTTTTATCTGTTTCTTAATCGTATGTCACCTATGATTTTTACCGCATTTCAACTTTTCTGAATATGATTTCTTTAATCACTTTGAAATCGTGAGATGATACAGTAAACACGTTGCTTCATGATATTCCTCAATCAGTTGTGACAATCAATTACGTCACACAGAAACGTAAACGTCGAAGAGAATTTCAACTTTGAAAATTCTAAGTTATTACTGCATATCATCATCTATTGGTATGAATAAAATGATGCAAGTAATATGTTGGGGATGTAAGATCCCCAAAACTCGCTTGTTAAATTCCTTATTTTGGATTTCACGTTTGCGAGCATGGGCTGATCAGTTGACCTTGAGATTTCATTTCCCATCAGGAAAGTCCATGGCTGTGATTAGCTACTGTGTATTTTAGTGTGCTATCTTCGTAACTGTCCCATGGACGTTTTTATGATGTATAGATAAAAGAGTGTTGTGTGCTTGATTGTATTATGATTGCTGGGTGTTTGTAGAATATACTTTCTACACTTATCAAGACTTCTGTTTTGCAGTTTAGGATTCGAGGTAGCCTACCTGGACGCTTTTAATTGCCTCGTTCGCGTTTATCGACTAAGGTGAACTCGTAATACCTTCAAGCGTACCTAGTGACGAACCTTACATAATAAGATGCACAAAATTTTCAATTTTTTCACAGGAATAAATAGAAATTAGTGAAGCCTGAGAATTAGCGTTTGGCATACAAAACGTAAAGTGCTTAATCTATTTTCTGATAGTAGTCAATTGAAAGTTATTCACGAATCAAAATACACTTCAATAATCAATTTTTAAACACCTACATCATCATTGAATGAAAAAAATAATAATCATAATAATAATTTGTTTAAATTCACACATATAATAGTGTCCGATAATTACCGCGATAAATGGATGTCCTGATTTTTTTTTCTGATTCATTTTTAACTACCATTTGTCAAAAGACCGAAAGACTGTTCTTTTTTTAAAATATGAACTGGTCCGATCGATTTCCTAGTGAATTCCATTCTTATTAACTTTGTATTTACTATGGTTTCTAGAGAAAATACATTCTAAGTTTATCATCAACTCTTTTATGGTTATTTTTTACACATTTAGCTATCGGTGATCATAGATTTTGGAATGAAAGTGCAAGTAATCCGAATTTTAATTATTACGGTCATTCAAGTACAAATTCTCGTATAGGCGCTAGTCCAATTTATATTTCAAGTCCAACTTGTGGAGATTTTTATAAAATGAGAAGATATTCTGGAAATATTTTAACTCGATCCACGGAGAATCAAGTGAATACACATGTTAGTTCATTTGATTTTTTGTAGAAAAAATTATTTTCTCTTAGAAGTATGTAGGGTGAAATGAAATTTTTTTTTAAAATTCTAATTATTACTAATAAACGATTTATTTGTAGAAAACAATGAACTGTATGGTGGGTAAAACATGAAACCTACTAAAATAAATGATTCATTTCATGTAGGGTATCTAGATAGTAGCATTTAATACAACTTGAGAAATCAAATCAGATCAAAATCGAAATCCAATAGGTAATTCTCATTTCTTCTAACAAGATTTTAAACATATATTTACTTTGTATGGAAATAAATGCCATATCATGTTCCATGGTGTACGCTCTACTATTAGCTTCAGGATAATTTTTTAATATCCCCATATAATACAGTTTCACCAATTTACTGAAAAGTTCAAATGACTAAGTAAAATAGTGTTGGTACAGTTTGTTGCATATCATCCATATTACTCTGTTTGAGAAGACTGACGCAGGCGCTGAAGATTGAATTGTGCAAATTTACACTCTTAGTCAATTAAAAAACGAAAACATTACATTGAATACTCTATTTGCACACCATCTTTGAGTCGTGACTTCCAACGCTCAATCCTTCTTCCATTCCTGTTGTTGCTTCCTTTCCTTCCTGTTGGTACTTCATTTACTTCTTGCTTTTGCTCCATTTGCTTTCCGTTTTCCTCTGCTGACCGTGAGACTTCTTTCACGTTCCTTCTTATACTACTTATATCGTTCGTATAAGTAGCACACACCACATGTTGACTATTATACACCCTAAATTCATCAATGATTAGTCGAAAATAAAATATGAACGAACTGAAAACTAAACTGTATTATCCATCATTAATTGCTGCTCATGTTCGTTACATATAATTAAAGCACTGGATTAATAAAACTATAAAGCTTCTTTGAAATTTAAGAAATTTATTCAACTTTGCTTAGTTTTGCACACATGAAAGGATGATACTCTTTTTTTTTGATTACGCACTTAATAATCAGCTAACTGATGCGTAATGAGATGGAACATTTTAGAATTTTAGACAATCCATTGTAAAACTCCACATAATAATGATTAGTGAGAAGCGTAAATAATTAGTTTGTTATTCAGCGACTGAAAAAATGGCTGTGATATATCACAGCTTGAATTTCAATTCACTTGGGAATTTCCTGTTTAAAGTGACAATTAATTCAACGTTGGAGTAAATCAATGAAAGTGGTTTTTCCAATTTCTAACGACTCTCTAGTCTCAAGGCTCTACACGTATGACATCGAGTGGTGTTACAATATTGACTGATTGTCACAGCTGTTTATTCACCTTCCGGATACCGGTTAAATTTACAATCAACCAATAAAATCGAACAGGAGCAATGCCTGATTTAAACTCACGAGATTATTGATTTTTATTCAACATGAAAAAAAAAAATTCATGGTAGTACTATCCTGCAAACTGGCAGAAAAAACGAAGCATTAAGAAGAACACAATAAAACATGTGAAAACCCAGAAATGAATGAGGACATGTTCCTTTTTGAACCAAACGATGTATCACTGTATGCCATACATATTTCATTTAAAATTCAAGTGTAAACGTGTAATTTTTATTTGGTAAGCAGATAAAATAATATTCTACCTTCAATCAAATTGACAAATGGTGTGTCATGTTAATTTTCTTACTGCTTTCATTTCAAAGGATAACTTGGGTTCATTGAATGTCCCAAGGTACAATAATGGTTTTCTAGACCCCAGAAGACATAGTTATGGTTTTACGCCGAGTACATCAACTAAGTCTTTAATTACTGTGAATATATGCGAAGGTCCTTTTGTTACACCACTCAGTTATCGTGGTTCAATACGTCGAAATTCTGGCTGGAGCTGTGGTCAATTTCCTACTTCTCAAGTAAATTTAACTAGTGTTTTTTTACTCATCATTAGGAATGATTTAATTTTATCACTAATGTGTATATTCTGTCTGTTAGTTCAAAGTTTATTAGTAAATAAACTGTAGACATTTTAACAAGACATACATGAACTATAGATACGTAAAAAAGAACTTCAGCTTTGTAAAGTTTATAAAATTCTTTAAATTTGCTAATTCGTCAAAGTGTACACTGACTATTAGGAAAATTACAAGTGAATTTCAGTTCATTGCAAATGAAGATGTAAATCAACAATAAATACTATTTCATTTTCGACGTATTTCATTACTTGAGTTAAATAAGATTAGGTTTTTAAATGTGAATGGGGACATAAAGAAGACCTTAAAAGGATACAAACATGGCTTCGTAAGATTTCCTACCAACAAACAATCGTAAACCCCGCATGATAGCTAGAAAAAGATTGAATAATGATTAACTGATTGGAAAACAGGATATTTTAATTAGACTTCAATATGTAATCGTTGACAAATTGGATAAAACTATAGGTTTGGTCATAAATACCTTTTAAACTTAATGTACCCGTGTTGAACTGGATCATTCATTTAGTTAATTAGGAGGTTAAGTTCAATGCCAATCCAAACATAATTGCTACCTAAGTATTCACTGCTATCGGTACTAAGTTTCAGGTGATAGATGATACTAAGGTTCCTATTATTTAGTTGTCAATCAGCAATTTCCATGTAGAAACTAACTGTACGTTTTATGAATGCAAACGATTTTTTTTCTATTTTGAGCTGTATACACATACAAATATTACAATTGTACATTAATTCGCTGAATAAGATGCCAGTGTGTTAGTTAGTAGGCCCATAATAACTAAGAAGATAACTTAAACAGGATAAATATTCCAACTTCCCATTCATCATAGTTGATTTCACTGTCTTATATACGATTCAGGTTGTTGAATACGTTGCAACTATTCCTGACTGTATTCTATACTCAACACACACACACATTAAGTGTTTCGTAACGAGTAATCATCAGTGGAATGTTTTTATGCATCAATTAACTAATTATTTACAAGTGAAGCATATACAAAATATACACCGTAGTAATTTTCATTAAATAATCACAATCATGTCTAGGCTAGCTCATCTTATTGCTTATGGATGGAATAAAATAAAAATGAGTTCTTCATGAACGAAGAATGTCTGTTTACATACTTGTATTCTTATTAGAAAACTAGGTGGTAGTAAATGTTCGAAAATTTTCTGCTGAAAAATTACTAAAAGTGTTACATATAAATATAAAGTAATAATCTAATTATTGAAATGTTCACCAAAACCAATATATATAATTTTAAAAGGTAACTTGCATGAAATTATTTTTTTTATTACTCTTAAAACTAATTATCATCAACAAAAATTAAGTTGAAAGAATTCATTTGTCAAAATAATTACTGTACTTAGTCAAATTACTTACTATTCAGTGTGTATATATATACATATATATATATATATATATATATAATTCTACATCTAAATCAATTAGAATCAACCTTGTAGGAAAATTCAAATTTCACATTTAAACAATAGGCTAATCCAGTTAATTTATTTTTTGAAAAAAAAACAACAATCTTTCACTACACTAACAAGCTAATGCAATAAGTATTCAAATCTGTAAAAAAATTGGTAATATCCTATGGAAACAGTTCAACAGACAAAAGATAAACAAGTTTAAATTATCATTTTCAAAATGATTGTGATTAGTATGTAAAAATAGCACAATTGAATTCACAGAAAATGATTATTCATTCAAATGCTTAATCGTGAAATTTGCATAGTTTGTATGATTTTTGACCTAGAACATTTGCGTATTTCTTTCTATTAACCAGTCTAAATAGTTCCATAGTGGTTAGAGCATTCAATCCTTAATCAAATGATTTAAATAGTTATAACTCTCTACACGTTCATTCTAAACAACCATGTAGTATCTGTCATCTATAGCCATCACAAAAACAGCAACTTTTTTCCATATAACCATGTACTTTTGGTAAATGAGTTGCATTCAGTGATAAGCAGACTACTTAAATTGTCACAGTCATAGTGTTATTGAAACTATGAGCTAACTGTAAGTAGTATCTATGCAGACTTGCAAAAAAGTTTAGCTAACAGCGATCCACTAAATTTCAGCCAACATTTGTCCTGTCTTTTTTTTTATCGGCACAAGCAATAGTAGTCACTTTGTTGAGTAGTTAAAATAAAACTCAAAAATTACACAGCGAAATACACTTGGTACATCATACATACATATGTATATATATGTATATTTTTATTCTGACAATCAGGTGACGCAACCCACTGATGAAGATATTCAAAGGCGTTCCAGTTTGAATGCTATAGGTGACTTGCTGGTGAGCTAATTAAGTGAAACAAAATTAAATTACTACTAATATTCACATTGTATTAATGAATCAAATAAAATCTATTAGAATCATTATGACATTTCACATTTACAGTAATATTTTGCATTTTAACAACTATATATGATGTTGTAAATTTTAGTTACTGTACCATAATGTATCTATACATATATTGATTTTTTGGAATTTCCTTCATTTTCTTGTGCATTTACTGATCGGTCAGTAATCCTCATCACCAACAACACAACATTCGTTTTCATTTCGGATAACTTTTATGTTTATCACTGGTGGTTTAATGCTTGTTTTATAATAATAATAATTATTATAATGTTTTGCATTACTTTTCCGTTTAGCATGGTTTGTTTAATTAAAAATTATTAATAATAATAATAATAATTGTTTGTTATGCGTTTGTTATGCAACTGTGAAATCAGTCAGGCAAAATGATTTTTCTCTTTTTTTTTTAACATTAATTATTTCTCATTTCCGGATTTGATTGTATCAACATAAAAATGTTGTAAGTTTGAAGAATAAGAAAAAACAAAACTCATAACAAATTGTGAGCATTATTTCTCCACAAGAAAAAAAAGCATTACCCAAGATGAATCGAAATTCCCAAGTTAATATTTATTGAAATTCACTGCAACATCTAGTCTTCAGTCAACATTATACTAGTCAACTGCTGACTTGGTTGACTGAAGTGGGCTGTAGTTTCTTTATTAAGCTTTGTAGTATTTATTCAATGAACTAAAAAATTACTTGCCAATTCTCCCTTCCCACTCCCACAAAAAAGAACATACTTTATGTAAATTAATTTTCATCTTCTGATTAGATGGTTGTCACCATGTACACACAGATATTATGGTGGTGGTGTTTCGTTCTCTTAGTTGGTTGTTTTGGTTGTGGAGCTTTCATTGTTCTTCTGAACAACATCATCATCAGCACACACACACAGATATTATTCTCAACAGAGTTCCAGAATAAACCATTTCATATTTTTTTTTAAATTATTGGCAGTATGAATTGTTTCTTGACAAATTTTTCTAAATAGCCTATTAATACTTTTCAGTAAAACTATGTCAGATATTGTCCTTAATATGATAAATTCATTTTCTCACTAACTATTAATGAGTAAGTCATCATCAGCATCACACTCAAAAGCATGACTTATGCACTGATCAAATTAAGAACTATATTTTGTAAGAGCAAACGTTTTAAGTTAGTCAAGTAATTTTCAACACACAAAAAATATATTGCCTAATTTGATCGTAATACACTACATCACAATCGATAAAGTTTACTGCATACAACTGATCATAATAATTATTGCGCAGATGAAATCTAATTAATAAATGAGGTTCATAGTAGTACAATAAATCATAGAGATATTTATTTTACCTAGTCACGAATAGTTCAGTTACAATTCCTAGCTAGATAGTTTAACAAATATTGATAACAAGTGATACTTGACGTTTTCAGCCTACTGAGTCTATACTGTTGAGGAAAAGCTATATCTGTTTCGAAATCTACAGCATCAGTTTAGTGAGTTGGTATATGTGTGATAACATATCAATCTCTAATTATTATATTAGATAAAACTAGACTACTTTGTATTGTTTAGTCTCAATTCAGTCATGTAATAAACAATGTAGAAAGTGATGCATTCATTATTACTACTGTATAAATAAATAATCATTGTTCAATATTCAATCATGATATCAATTGTCAACATTTATCTTTCTTTATATATATATTTTTTATTTTATTTCTAACATTTTCTAATTATAGGCATCAACATTCAAGAAAGTTTTGTGAAATATTTAACTAATAAAATATAAAAAGAAGATCGTTTTGTATGCAATATTGTCATTAGTGTGTATCATCAGAGATTTTTACTTGTGTTTTTGTTATTTTAATGTGTATACAATTTTGTTCTTCTTAACTTTATAAGAACTAGATGTGTGCAACGAAATTCCAATGTCACTTACCAACCAATACAATGGATTTTCCTTTTTCTTATTTGTCTGTAAACTGTAAAAAAAAAAAGAAAAAACTTTCGAATTCATTGACTGGAAGCAAAAAAAACACTCTACTCAAAAAAACATATTTTTCTTTACAAAAAAATGAAAGCTTTAACTTTGTTTTTTTTCTAATATTTTGAAACAACATTCAAGTATTTGAACAAAATTGAAAATAAATTCTTTTTTTTTCAGACCAATATTTCATTTTTGATTCACATAACTTTTTATCTATACAAAAGTTGTCGTATGAAGAAAGTGATGTTGAATTCAAATGTCGATAGTTTTTGAAAGAAAATCTAAACTATTAAGATTGTGAGCCTTCCACATACATGTTAATCGATGTCTTTAATGTTTAAATAGTATTGGGTATGAGAATAATTTTTCTGATGATATGAAAGAAAACAGCTATGTGTAATGTGAAAGACACAAAATCAAATAAACCTGAGTACTATTGTAGTGAACGAGAACATAGGTGGGGGAACCGAATTATATTTAACGGAAATTACAGAGTTACTCAGTAAAATCGGAAAACCGTATCGTAATTCGTTCATTTACAAAATATCAGTCCATCATATCGAACTGGACTGTTCCTGTTGCAAAACATCAATCCATTGCCACTATTCATGCGTTTCATACAAATTCCATTGTGTTCTAACTCTTCCTTTCTTGATCTTCCCCCATCTTCTGCTGCCAGACATTACGTTGACACTCACGTCATATACTACTTATAAGTAGCTCACACCACACTATAATTGCAAATCTGGCGATGATTATCAAGTGACCTAGCTGTATGGAAATGATTTGCATCATATCTTTTGTTCAATATTGCATGTTGACTTATATATATATATATATATATATATATATATATATATATATATATATATATTCAAACTGGTGAGGACAATGAACGCGATAAGAGTTTAACATGTTTGCTCATTTGCAGGAAATTCACAAGAATGAAAGATTATGATTAATAATATCTAAGTTGATATAGTAAAACAAATATGGTCACAATGATATTTGCAATAGTCATAAAAGTGTTTTTCTTTGTCTCATTTCACACCAAACTTGTTGTGTAAATCCATACTAATGATTACAATAAATATGAACTTAGTGTATATTACGTTCCAAGTGTATGAAGCTGTTTCTGACCAATAATAATAATAATAAACCAGGAAATACAAGATGTATTTTTCATCATAATTCAGTTGACTATACTAATGAATGGACAAAGTGATCACTTAGATCTGCCTAGCAAAATTTGAATACTAAATACCACTGTATGATTTTACCTTGGTTATACTGGAATATTAGTCTAAAAAGTATCCTCCAGATATGGAGAACATCAGTGTTGATTACTCAACTATTGAAGAATTTGAAAATTGATTTAGTCACCCCAGTATCCAACTTCGAGCTCTAATTACACATGCGTCAGCCCTTATTTACATGAAAATTTTAAACTTTAATTGTGCGAAAAATTATTGTAGCAAACCTTTTCCATTTCAGATTAATTTTATATGGCTTCCAGTCACATCTCATCACACTTTGTTTATATTCGGGACTTGAATGACGTGAAATTATTTTGGATTTAGAACACGAACAAATTTAAACATCTTCTTGCCAGCATACCCTAATATGCTGTGTGTCATGACACAGAGTACATGAAATAATACCAGGAGAGCCTTGAAAAAATAAAAGTAATTGACGATGACTCGAACACTGACCAAATATATTGATTTTCTATAAATTTCAATACGAGAATTACACTACTTTAATTACTGTAAGTAGCCCATTGATATTTAAAAAATATATCGTCCAAGTTCGAGGTCCAGATGAGCATAGAGAACTTTCGATCGCTTACTGAAAGCAGTTACATGAATTGATGAGAATAAATCGGATGAAAAATAAACACGGTTTCTTTACATTCTCTTTTTTGAGTCTTTTTAAAAATAATGACAGGTCTGTTCAACACTGTTAACTTTGGTGCAGTATACAGTCTTCAGAATAAATTGTACAATATTACAACAAATACAGCATTTACACACATTCAAATTTTAGTTACTCAAAACATATTTTGGAAATGTTTGTAATGATTAGTATCTTCCCCCCATATTCAATCATCAGTTTTCTACTGATTCAGATCCTACAACTACTTTTATTTACAAAAAGTAATGAGATAATTTAGTTTTCATACTGTTAACTTATAAAATCACTCCTTTGCGATAGGAGACGTTATTTTCACGTAAATTTTAGGTTTCAGATTTTTTTAATGAACATGAGCAGATAGCCATCTTCAGTAAGCATTCGCCGAACTTTACGAGGTTGCTCTTCCAACTATCGATGAGAACACCTATAGTACTCCGTAATATCGTGTATGGATTAAGTTTCTTTCTCCAGATTCAAAAGGATCCCACTCTAGGATTTCATATATTGTCTAATTCAAATTGATTATTTAAAAGATGAAGTTTGTACAAAGCCCTTTATTCATTGTTTCAGTATTGGCATCATCGGGATGGACGAGCTGAATGTTACTTTATTCCACTAGCCCATTTTGTTTTCTTACTGTTTTCAAGAATATAATTGAGTATTATTTAATTTCAAAACAGATAGCTAAGATCTCTAATCTTCTGCTGACTGTATGATTCGGTTCAAACTAATAATAAGGACTTATTTCCTAATTCCATTAAAGATATGGAGATAACTCAGACGACAATTATGATACAATACGCAACAGCTCCATTTACATCTGGCTCATTGCTTCAGTCATACTAATTCTATTAAAAATTATTCAATGAGACCGGAAAAGATCCAGTTTAACTTCAAGCTAGTTCAGAGATTATTAATTAACGAGATTTATTCACTGAGTGATAGGTGCTGAGTATAAAATCATAGAAAAATAACCATTACAAGGAAAGTGTACTGAAGACTAAATAATTTGACATAAATCACATACACTGAGAACTGTTAAATTAAACTCATTATGCCAGGAAATTGACCTAACAAAAATCATCTTAAAACGATATGTAAAACTAAAATTGATTTTCCTTTTTGGTACGTTGTATTTGGCAATATTACCCCCAACAGGTTTCACCTATTCCAATGATCAGTTTAAAAATTTTAGTAAACCCATAGTTTATAAAGATTGACTTGCATAAAATTAAAAATAATCTAAGTACATCATAGTTAAAATAATAACTATACTTTAGTATTAAATTTTATCTAATCGTACACATTACATTGAATACAAATGTAAAGCTATTTTTCTTCCAACTAAAAGATCATCTTAAATTTCAACAGCAAAAACCTGCTGTGGCACGAAGATGCATTTAGCTGACGGACGAATTTCAATACGAAAGAAACGTGTAACCTTCATTCCTCTGCTTGCTTCAATTCAGATACACTAAAATCTAGGAATCTTATGGTGTTTTAGATTTTAAACGTGCTTCAGTACATTATTTTCGTTGGATATAACTAAACTTCTAATAATTTTTTATGATAAGAAATTTATTTAGTGTCTCTGACAATGCGTAATACCGTCATGAAATTCCTCCATAAATTAGTTGAAAGTTTTAGTAACCGATTAATCAATAAAGACATCAAATACTTTTATGACAATTCAAGTCAAAAATTAAATATCGTCAAGTGCCATCAGTTGATCCTAATACAAACTGATACCAAATGGAAAAAAAAACAATGAATGTTGAACTACTGAGCATTGTCCACCTATGGATCACTGAAGCCGTCAAGTCTATGACCGTTAGGTACTGTGATGAGTGTGGCCATCCTGCTCAACTAAATCACAATAGAACGGTACATATTTTGTGAATTTGGGATACAATATGTGATTCTTAGTTTGTGAGAATAAGGCAACTAGATACAAATCAATTGAAGTATGAATACAAATCTAAAACTTTATGATACACTTTTATCAAAATCATAAAGGTGTCAGATCAATAGTTATAATCAAGCTCTGACTACTTACATTTAAATCTAGACAATCATCAAATGAGTTCATTGCTTTGGTACACAAACTGATATCAGTACACGGACTGTATTAATAAAGTTTAACAAGACATTTATTCGACTGTATTGACATATATATCTAGTCCTGACTTGCATTTTACTTTACATGTGTCACTGAATAAATTCACAGTTCCGGCCAACCATATTTACTCTCATAGATTGTCCAAAACTGAGATATAATGCTTTAGTTTTTCATTAGCCAAATGATAGGCAAAAGATTGGTTACGTAAATAATATTGTTTAATGTTAATGATATCATAATCGAGTAACTAAATAAAAAATTACATATCTGATTTATAGGTGTAGTTAAACCAAAGACTGTGACATGACCCACTTACCTTATAGTTATTATTCATTATGTACTGTCTACAATCGCTGTTTGTCTTGTTCATTATTTCTATATAAAATCAATTACTCTGAATATATGGATTATACAAGGCTGTTATTATTGAATGAACATTTTTTAACTCCTCCTGTAGACCCTTCGAGGCTACTGCCGGTCCTAAGCCCGGATAAAGTAGGACGGTTGGGATAAGGTTGACAACGTCATCTCGGAAATAACTAATTTGCCAAAAAAAACGTTAGCAAGAAAAAATAATTCAAAACATATAAACTCTGCTCTGGGAGTTAGTTCTTCATTTAGAAGAGTTATGACGCCTCATGATGAAAGCCGAATTCCTTCGGAAGTCATAAGGTCGATGCCCCTTCTGACAACCAGAACCCTTCCACGGTGCGGGAAGCCGGGACGTTAAATCCGTCCTCATAGCCATAAAAACACAAGGGACCGAATTGATCACATCTCTTAATAACTCCCCTATATTCTCGACCAACCCTTCCTTCGATCGCTTATCACGCACCACTGAAGCAAACGGTTCGAGCTAACGAAACATCATTCCTGGTTTCTTGAAACCCCGTTCTAGACTATATTTTGGAGCTTTTATTGTTCGAACGCTATGCTAAATAGGACAGCAAGCCTCATTAGCCAAAA